TCATGGCGGATTGCCCTTACCGCACACCGAATTTCCGAAACCGTCAACTTTACGTCACGCGATTGTCAGCGCTGCTGTCTTTTTCGCATGCCTCCTGTGCGACGACAAAAAACACCGCAGCGGATGTGCGCCTGCGACGACTGCTGATGACGCGAACTGGTAGCGAATAACGCGTGACGTGCGGCTGGCGCAGGCAGGCGTACACGGCGTCCGTGCTTGCTGTATCTTCGTGTGTCGTTTCTCCCCCTGGTTTCCTGTTCTGCCTTTGCCCTTCTCCCCCTGCCTCGGGATGCGATGGCATCAGTTTGTGCAAGTCTTGAATGCACACCACCAGATGATGCTAAGTCTGTCCGAACTTCACCCATGTTGTCATGTGATGCTCCCCCTACACTCCAGATGTATGGGAGCCGCTGGAGTTGCGGAACTTCATCAGCTCGAGTTTGCACATTTCGACGCAGAGCGGGATGACAGGTGCGCTCCAAGTGTGCAGAAATGTGTACGCCAAGGCTGCAGTGCACTCCAGGTGAGCAGTTTTATGCACCCCTGGTATGCAGTAACGCCAAGTAGGTATGCAGATATGTGCACACCAAGTAGACCAGGTATGCAGGAAACTGTGCTCCCGTGTATGTTCTCCGTATGGTGAGTAGGTCTTCCCCGTATGCTTTGTGACTCCATGTCCCACACTTATGCCACCAGACATACTCCACACCCCACCTCCCGCCACCCATGTGCTTGTAGTGATCCGCGTACACAGCTACAAGCACATGAGTGAGTGTGGAGTTAGGTGATGCCATGTTGTGCCGCACCGTTCGAGGTGGCCGCACAGGTGAGTACAACACCAGAATCCTTGACTTGATGATTGCCTTGACCAACCAGCAAATTGCAGGTGAGATGCTGCTTGCTTGGCTTGTCCACCTCATTTCCCACATCATGATTTTCCACTCCTTCCTAAATGGAAACACCAGTCACAGGTACGCCATCAGCTGTACCTCCGCTTCCTTCAAGTGCACTGACTTCATCAGCTACATCAGCTCCAGGTAAGTCTTGTTTTGCATATTCTGCTCCTTCGCCTTCATGTCCTTCAATGGTCGAGAATGCAGGAACCGAATCCACTACGGACCTGTGTCCTCCTCCCCCTGAAGTCCACACCACACAGTGGGGTGAGACTTCATCCGTATCAACATCATGTGCCGGATTCCGCACGATGCAGGCTTTGTGCGCTAGGCGGTATGTGACAGAGGCATGTGCAGACTTGCCACTCGACTGCATCCCAGGTGTGCGGAAATCCGTGCTCTCATGTGCGTCAATGTGCACACCAGGTGTGCGGAAAAGGGTAACCCCCTCACGATCAACCTGATGCGATGACGCGTCATAACGGGAATGTCCAGGATCATGGGCGGATGTAAGTGCATGCGCATATTGCACCACGAGCACTCCATCCACGTTCTTAGCAAATCCAATCCGCACGTACTCCTCTCCATCTTTCATGGTGACCTCCGTGTCTCCATTAGCAATTGTATTGATGTGCGCTCCCTTTTTCAGCAGCTGACAATAGGAGAGCAGGTTACTCTTCAAGCCAGGTACGTAGAGGGCGTCAGTGTACCGAACTGTTGTCCCATCAGGTGTTGTTGCTCTGATCGTTCCTGTCATCTTGCTGCTCAGCTCGCTTCCATTAGCAAGCTCCACATAAACAGGTTCGTCCATCTCCCTTAACTCTTCAAACCAGCTCTTGTCCGAAGTCATGTGCTGGCTGCATCCACTATCCAGCATCCAAGATGACGCTTTAGCTGGCGGTAAGGTAGCTTGTGACGATCCCATCATTGCAATGCACGTAACAGTACGTTGTTTGTCTTCCCCGGCTGCCCCTTGCTGTTTTGATGCATTGTTGTCACGTTTGGGGCTGCAACTCCTTCGTGGGGAGGACGAACGGCTGTCGCTGGTGTGCAGTTTTGCCTTTCCGCGGGTATGCGGTTCCCACCCTGGTGGTATCCACCCAGGGGGTGCCTTGGTACACTTGAAGAAGGGGTGGCCAGGCTCCTTGCAGTACCAACACACGAGAGATGAGCGACTTGCATCTCCATCCTTGCCATGCGTTTTCTCCCCAATTGACCCCTCCTTCCCGTTATTGCCCTTTGCAGTTGGAGAAGGTGAGCAGTCTCCACGTGCTTGTCCAACCATGCGAGGTGGACGCCGGTCACGGTTATCCTTTGTGATGAGATCGTGATATCTCTGCTCCCGAATCATCATCCGCTGCAAAGTGAAGCTGTCCGTCACGTTGTGCAGCATTGCCGAGTGCCTCATCTCCTCCCAATGTGCCGGTAGTCCGGTGAGCAGATTTAAGGTGAATGTGTCCTCATCCACCATCTTTCCCGCCAGTGCCAACTTGTCCCGAATCGCCGTTGCGCGGTTCACATACTCCTCCACCCTCTCTTGATTCCCCATTTTCAGGTTGTCCAACTGCTTCATGAGAGAGACCTTCGCCACCGAATCTTTGGCCTGGTAAGTGTCCATCAAATACTCCCATGCTTCATAAGCCGGGCTGTAGGATTCCTGGAACATGTCTAGCTGTAGTTGAATCGTGGCGCTCACGCTGTGCAATAGGACCCAAAAGGCGAGTGCCGCACGCTGGGAGTAATCCGCCTGTAGCATTTCCAGCCGCCCCATAGCGTCGTCAATGTCACCATCTCCCATGGTAACCGGATACTGCAGGGTCACAAAGAACTCCCACAGATTCGTGACGCGGGCGTTCATACGAAACCGTAGTGCCCATTCGCGGAAATTTGAGCCGTCAAACGGAGTGGTGGTGAATGCCTTGTCCACCGTTGCTCCCACCATTTTGCGTGACAGTCGTTCCTTGTCTTCGTCCGTATATTCACGTGGTGCGGGGTCGAAGAGAGTAGGCATGGTTGACGGTCGAGGTAGCTGTACCGTGCGCCGCATATCTCCATTCTGTCCACCAAGTTGACGTTCCAGCACTTCCACTTGATCCCGTCGCATGACACCACTTGACTGCATTCCGTACCCCATCCGCCCCATGCTGCCCACAGAGTGTGCGCTAATTGGTGGACGATGTGCACGCGGAGGGATGATGTTGTCGCCACGAAGGTGAGACCTGGGCATGGGAAGAACTCCAATGGGATGAGAGTTAGTCGCAAGTCGTCGTAGTGGGGGAGCACCAATAGTGTAGGAGGCAAATCCCACACCTTCCACGCCCACTTGACCATTTCCGTCATTCTGCTGGCCAATCTGTCCACTTCTCATTCCACCATATAATGCGTTCCCATACTCATCATTCCTCCCCCGCGCTTCTCTTTGCATGGATGATTGAGGTGCGGGATTGGCGCTCCCCCCTCCTTGGACGGATGCATCCCTCCCTTGGGATGACTCTCCTCCTTGGGGTATGCTCATTTCCCCTTCACCATCAATTCCTGCAACGACATTGGAAGCATGCGTTTGGTTAGTACGAGGAGTGCTTGAATGCGACTGTCCATGAGTGGACGGATTGCTCAACGAGTGTGCGGTTGTTGGCATGTTGAACTTGACTCGCAGTGATGCCTGCAGTGCTGGTGGTGCCCTTGAAATCATGTTTTCCAGGTGCTCATGCTGGGCCAAGATGGCTTCTTCAAAAGCCGCATATCCAGCATCCACTTCGTCATCGAAGTGCGCCATGACCTTGCCAAAACCGTCTACCAAGTGTGCGGTAAACGCGCGGTTTGTAACCAACAGCGAACACCAGGTGTACGAAAGCGTAGACCGGGTGTGCGGTACTCTGACTGTATGCAGGTACCTATCCGAAGTGATTGCTAACAACTTTTATGGACCAACTTTGGCAGCATGCCCCCTAGAGTAGCTCTGATACCATGCTAGAAAGGCATAGTGCCAGCGTAGAGGAAACGTGTTTGTAGAAAGAACAAGACAGAACTCTTGCATTGGAAACGGATTGAGAATTGATGGATTGTAGGCAATACAAGCAAGCTTGATATAGCATGCATGATCTAATGATGGAAAGTGCTACGTGAGAGACCAAAAGTAGAAGCAAGAGAAGTAGAGTGCCAGATGGCACAAGGAAATCAAGGAGGATAAGGATAAGGGTGAGTTGGAAAGTACTGTTCAAAAGGGAACAGTAAATCCCCCCCCCTTATCATGGAGGCTTATAGAGGGGACTACACTAAAACCAAACAGCACACTGGTATACAGTATTCGTTATACTGTATTCGGATTTCCAACAACGAAAACCACTACGAACATAGGCGAAACTAGTAACGTTTCGCCTGTTCGAACGAGTGTGTTGTTCGAACCGACAGGTGAAGCGCCCTAACTCAGCCTGACGGTGACAGGTGCATGCGTCTCCCGAGCAGATTCACATGGTGGCTTATCATGAATGTGCCAGTAGTAGGTACCGTATGTAGCAGCAGTGTTACAGTGTAATGAAGGACAGTAGTACTTCATATCATTTATATAATTCACGTGATTCAGCCAAGCATTCAACGTAGCAATGCTTGGAATCTTAATCAGCCAAGCTTACTTGCTATACCTCAGCCCTACCATACCATACCGTACCGTACCACTGATACTTCCAACAGTGCCATTTGCAAGCTTGGGCACAGTGAGACAACAGACCGGGTCGTTCCCTGGAAAGGCCAGGAACCCCATAAAAAATACTTATGAAACGGACACCAAGCATAGCTTACAGGAATCTGGTTTGTGTTACAGCCGCTCGCTTGGATACTACCAGGGGTACGCCGCACGTGCAAGGGAAGCAGGCCTGGCTCCCCGGCCAGGCAGAGTTTGAGTCGACTCAGGGCGTATCTTCACTTCGGGTCATGGCACTGTTTGGGTCATCACTGCACACTTTGGGTCATGAGGGAACCAATGATATTGCAGAAGTGTAGCTAAAATGCGCTTTATTGGTTGTCCAAGAATCTTGGATGACCCAAACAGTGCCATGACCCGAAGTGAAGATACGCCCTCAAAAGTACAACACGAGACCACCACAAGTGTTATCTCTGGTTGAAGCATGCAGCTGCTTGTTTGGATATACCCAGAGGCACATGCAGGGGAAGCAGGCCCGGCTCCCCAGCAAGGCAGAACCCACAGACCCCGTAGAAAGAGTGCAGGATGTCCGGGAATCCCCCTGGGTGCTTGCTGAACCCTCCGTACCTCTGTGGTAGGAGAGAGGGAGAAGGGGGGAGGGGAGAGAGGATCAAGAGGGGCAGAGGCCGCAGAACCAGTAGAAGGAATGCAGAATATCAGGGAATCCTCCTGGATGCTTGCTGAACCCTCCGTACCTCTGTGGCAGGAGAGGGGGGGAGGGGATGGGGGAAAGGGTAGAAGGGGATTAAGCCGGGCTCCCTGGCCAGACAAACCCAGCAGACCCCGTAGAAAGAGTGAAGGATGTCAGGGAACTCCCCTGGGTGCTTGCTGACTGAACCCGCCGTACTGTTGTGGAGACAGAAGGCTAAGAGAGAAGGAGAGGGGAGAGTGGATCAAAAACAGAACTCGCAGACCTCGCAGAAAGAATGGAGGATATCTGGGAAACCCCCCTGGGTGCTTCTTCAGCATATACGGTTCACCGTTGTTGGGATCTGTTTGTGCTTTTCGTTTGTGTGCATCTCTTTCTGCTACAATGTTCCTCATGCCCGCTGCAGGCACAGAAACCACTACAGCCAGGACAGACAGACCAGCCCCAGAAGCCACAACATCCACAGCAGCCACAGCTGACACTCCACTCACAGCTGACACAGCACCAACAGCCGACACAGCACTTAAAGCTGACACAGCAACCACAGCTGACACAACACTCATAGCTGACACAACACCCACAGCTGACACAGCACCAACAGTTGACACTCCACTCACAGCTGACACAGCACCCACAGCTGACACTCCACTCACAGTTGACACATCACCCACAGCTGACACAGCACTCACAGCTGACACAACATCCATAGCTGTGAGTGCTGTGTCAGTTGTGAGTGTTGTGTCAATTGTGGTTGCTGTATCAGCTGTGGGTGCTGTGTCAGCTGTGAGTGTTGTGTCAGCTGTGAGTGGAGTGTCAGTTGTGGATGCTGTATCAGCTATGAGTAAAGTGTCAGCTGTGGGTGCTGTGTCAGCTATGAGTGCTGTGTCAACTGTGGTTGCTGTGTCAGCTGTAAGTGCTGTGTCGGCTGTGGGTGCTGTGTCAACTGTGAGTGGAGTGTCAGCTGTGGCTGCTGTGGATGTTGTGGCTTCTGGGGCTGGTCTGTCTGTCCTGGCTGTAGTGGTTTCTGTGCCTGTAGCGGGCATGAGGAACATTGCAGCAGAAAGAGATGCACACAAACGAAAAACACAAACAGATCCCAACAATGGTGAACCGTACATGCTGAGACGCCACTTCTTAAACTCATCCCAACCCACACCTCGTCACTTCCAGTTGGGGTGGTGGTGGAAGAGGGTGTAGGGTTCAGAAGCCGGTTTGAAGTTTGACCTCCCACCCTCTCCCCTCTCCCCGCCTCGCTTTCCTCCCCTCTCCCCACCTCGCTTTCCTCCCCTCTCCCTTCCCTTCTCCCCTCATCCTCGCCCTCCCTCTCATCCTCCCCCTTCTCCTCTTTTTACCTCATCTCCACCTCTTCCTCTTCCCTCTCCACCTCGTCATCTTCCCTGTCCACCTCTTCCTCTCCTCTCTTTTGCCTCTTCCTCTCTCTCCCTGAGCTACACGCGCACCTCTGAGCAGCAGCGACAGAGGCGGAGCACAGGAAGATTTGGCAGCAACAACAGCATGAGTAGGAGGAGAAGCAGCAGTTCGGGTTGGTGTTGGCTGCTGAACCCGCAGATCCCTTAGAAAAAGTGCAGGATGTCAAGGAATTCCCCTGGTTGCTTGCTCATCCCCATGTGGTGGAAGGTGAGAAGGAAGCTTTGATGATACAAGTGCTGCTCATCCCCATGTTGTTGCTCATCATGTGCTGCTCATCCCCATGTGCTGCTCATCCCTATGTGCTGATCACCCCCGGCTGCTGACAGCTGAAAAGCTTGACACAAGTGCTGCTGAGTCACTCACGGTGTTCTGGCAGGTAAAAAGGAAGTTTCGGAGGGCTGGGAAGTCAATGAGGTGGTCTGCTCCCAGCATCCTCAGTGTGCCGCCCACCCTGGGAGAGAGAGAGTGAAGAGGGAAGAGAGACGGGATGGGAGTGGGTGATGAATGGCAGTATGAACACAGAGTGACAGGTGTGCCTCGAGCATGGTCAATGAGGTGACCTGCTCCCAGCATGCTCAGTGTGCCGCCCACCCTGGGGAAGAAAGAAGGGATGGCGGTTGATATGAATCAAGAGGGGACAGCAGGTGAAACAAACTGTGAGTGTGTTGCCTACCCTGAGACCAGAGGATTGCAAATGATTGAAGCAAAGAGTTCGACAGTCTATCATCTATCGTACAAAATGAGCCGCGCCATTGGTGAGAAACCGGACGAGATGGTTACATAATGAACGAATGAAACGGAGATGGGGCACCAGAAGAGAGCGGGGCACATGAACAGAAACGAGCATAGGATAGGAATAGAGCCCACCAGAAGGCATAGCACGTGTCGGCTGGCTTGTTGCGCCGGCCCTGAAACCCCCCCTCCGGTCCTTGCCTCTGCTTCCATGCAGGGAACAGATGGGATGGGACGCGGTGGAAAGGAGTGGGGTGGGATGGGATGAGTGGGATGGAGGATGGGGGATGGGTGAGGACGAGAACAGATGCAGTTGGTTATGAGGTGGTGTTGCCTTTTGCCATGAGGTACAGAGAGTTGCAGCGAGGTACAGCGGGGTGCAGCGGGGTGCAGCAAAAGTCAAGATTCTGCACGTGTAACCAGCAGCACCCACCAGCCCACCCCAACAAAAGAGCGCAACGATGGGATACAAGAGCGGACCTGAAGGCACCAATCCATCAGCGGAAGAACGTCAGCAGAGAGTACATGCGAGATGCGTGTCTGCTCTTCTGCTGCGGGCACGTCTGCTGCTGCTGCTGCTGCTGCTGCTGCTGCTGCTGACTCCTCTCGTGCACCTGCTGTTACGGCTGACTCATTGCGTGAGCGTGCTGCTGGTGCTGATAGCAATTGCAGCAGTGGCGACAGCGGCAGCGGCAGCTGTGATAGCGATGATGCTGATGCTGCTGAAGCTGCTCCTGATGCTCCTAATGACGAAACTGCTGATGCTGATGGTGGTAATGGTGATGACACTGCTTCTGTTGCTCCTGCTGATGAAGCTGCTGCTGCTGCTGCTGCTGCTGATGACAGCAATAGTGATGATGTGGAAGATGCAATGAGCTGCAGCGCTGCCACGGCACAGTAGGTCGCTCCTCCTGCACACGAAAGGAAAAGATATTGCAGTCACAAAGAAATGAATTTGAGTCCAGGAACAGCAGGTTGCCCCCCCTCCCCAACAACAACAAAAAAAAAAAAACCCCGGGAAATATGGAACTATTTTTTTGCGACTAAGAACCCACCATGTGCTTCGCAGCCCGGGCCGAGGCCAAACCCGCCATCAAATGACTGGTGCAGGGAGTTAGGAAGAGGAAGTGGAAAATGCCAAGCCAGGCAGGGGAATGGAAGGAATGGTGACTCAAGAACAAACCTGAAACCCATCTTCGAACTGTCCCAAAAAAACATGAACTGCTTCACTGCTCAAGGAGATTTTGAGAATTCTTTAAAACACCATGATCAGAACAACTGCTGCACAGCTCAAGCCCACAGAAGGAACATTGCCCGCCAGCCCCCTATGCCCACTCCCCCATCCCCCCAACCCACTTCCCCATACCCACTCCGTCATGCCCACTCCCCATCCCCCAAGCCCACTTCCCCATACACACTCCGCCATGCCCACTCCCCGCGTCCCCCAACCACCCTCCCCCATGCCCACTCCCCCCCATTCCCACTCCTATACCTACCTGTGCGTACCTGTGTGTACCTGTGTGTACCTATGTGTACCTGTGTGTACCTGTGTGTACCTGTGCGTACCTGTGTGTACCTGTGTGTACCTGTGCGTACCTGTGTGTACCTGTGCATACCTGTGCGTACCTGTGTGTACCTGTGCGTACCTGTGCGTACCTGTGCGTACCTGTGCGTACCTGTGCGTACCTGTGCGTACCTGTGCGTACCTGTGCATACCTGTGCGTACCTGTGCGTACCTGTGCGTACCTGTGCGTACCTGTGCGTACCTGTGCGTACCTGTGCATACCTGTGCGTACCTGTGCGTACCTGTGCGTACCTGTGCGTACCTGTGCGTACCTGTGTGTACCTGTGTGTACCTGTGCGTATCTGTGCGTAACTCTGCGTACCTGAGCGTACCTCTGCGTACCTGTGCGTACCTCTGCGTACCTGTGCGTACCTCTGCATACCTGTGCGTACCTGTGCGTACCTGTGCGTACCTGTGCGTACCTGTGCGTACCTGTGCGTACCTACCTGTGCATACCTGTGCGTACCTGTGCGTACCTGTGTGTACCTGTGTGTACCTGTGCGTACCTGTGCGTACCTGTGCGTACCTGTGCATACCTGTGCGTACCTGTGTGTACCTGGGTGTACCTGTGCGTATCTGTGCGTACCTCTGCGTACCTGTGCGTACCTCTGCGTACCTGTGCGTACCTGTGCGTACCTCTGCGTACCTGTGCGTACCTCTGCGTACCTGTGCGTACCTCTGCGTACCTGTGCGTACCTCTGCGTAAAAGTGCGTACCTCTGCGTACCTCTGCGTACCTGTGCGTACCTGTGCGTACCTGTGCGTACCTGTGACCTCTGAATGTAGTCAATGGCACGGGGGACGCTCACTCCCCGCCAATCTCCTATCATGCTCGAAATGGCCGCTGCCAGGTGGGTGGTGTAATTCAGGTCGTACGGTACGGGAGAAAATGGGTTGTGAAAATGGGTCGTGAAAATGGGTCGTGAAAATGGGTCGTGAAAATGGGTCGTGAAAATGGGTCGTGAAAATGGGTCGTGAAAATGGGTCGTGAAAATGGGTCGTGAAAATGGGTCGTGAAAATGGGTCGTGAAAATGGGTCGTGAAAATGGGTCGTGAAAATGGGTCGTGAAAATGGGTCGAAAATGTAGTTCTGTGTTGTGAATTCAGTTTCGGGCGCTTGTCACACAAAGTATTCTATAATATGCATGGGAGCTGCTGCAAGGCACGGCGCACTTGCGTAGAGCTTTTAATATTGATCATTCATTCGTCCTCCCCATGTCAATAGACTACACTCATGCTCGTAATATGAGTGCTAATGCTCATGCTCATGAGTGCTTCGGTGGCCTTACGTGATACGTCCACACCTTCGCCGCCCCTCACCACCCCCCAGCACCCCTAACCACCCCTCACCAGCGCAGAAGACGAAGCGCATATCGGACTCGCTCCCGCAAGCAACAGGCATGAAACTGGGGACTCAAAAGAGCAGCGAGGGAGGTCGAATGTGGAGTGGGAGGAAAGGGGCATCGAGGAATGTGAGAAGCTGGAGTGGCACAGCGGAGTGGCAAAGCGGAGTGGCAAAGCGGAGTGGCAAAGCGGAATGGCAAAGCGGAGTGGCAAAGCGGAATGGCAAAGCGGAGTGGCAAAGCGGAATGGCAAAGCGGAGTGGCAAAGCAGAGTGGCAAACCGGAATGGAAAAATGGTGAAGGGGCGGGGCATGGGCGCGAGAGGCTTGCATGGGGAGCCAGGAGAAAGAAAGGAAGCTTGAGAAGAAAACTGGAAACACACTCCCTTCACCCTAATCCTGTCGTGGTCACATCGGTGCAGCATTAAAAGAGTTCAACTCACCTCCCTTACAATTCACCCCACCCCAGACCACCCCACCCCACCCCACCCCACCCCACCCCACCCCACCCCAGCCCAGCCCACCCCAGCCCAGCAAAGCCCAGCCCAGCCCAGCCCAGCCCAGCCCAGCCCAGCCCAGCCCAGCCCAGCCCAGCCCAGCCCAGCCCAGCCCAGTCCAGCCTAGTCGGATCCGGCCTGGCCCAACGGTTTATCTCACCTCCCGTCTTGCAGCTGCAGCTCTAGCAGCGACTTTGCCATGCCTCGCACCTCCCCTGCCATGCCCCCCCGCTCCCCTGCTGTCCCACACACTGCTGCATCCACCCCATCCCCACACCTCGCACCCGGCCCCTCGCTGCCCCTCTCTTTCGCCTCCTCGCCTGCACACCCTGCCCTTTCCCCCTCACAGCACCCTACCACTGAATTTTCCTTGCAGCTGACACTGCAATCAGCAGTGCAACTGGCGTTGGAGCCACCACTGGAACCGGCATTGCAAACGTCACCGCTGACAGGAAGACTGGGAACAGGCTCATCATTTAGGGTGGCGAGGATGGCGAGGGCAGTGTAGGTCATCGCGATGTGGCTGCAGTCGTAGGGCAACTGCTTGGGCGCCTGTGAGACGAGGGGGGTGATATGAGGGGTTCCAAAGGGTACAGAGGGGTGCAAAGGGGTGCAATTGGGTGCAAAATGGTTCGACAGTCTTTATGAACTGCGAATAATAACAGGCTCATCATTTAGGGTGGCGAGGATGGCGAGGGCAGTGTAGGTCATTGCGATGTGGCTGCAGTCGTTGGGGGGCTGCTTGGGCGCCTGTGAGATGACAAGGGTGCAAAGGGGTACAAATCGGTGCAATGGGGTGCAACATTCTTGATTCACTGTACCACCTCTGTGACTCTGTCTGCACCCGAACACAAACGAAACTCAACTATCACAACGTCTCCTCTGCACCCTGCTGTAAGTTGTAAACATAACTCAATTCTCAACCCACTACTCACCCCTCGAGTGCTGTACTCCACACCAATGGAAGGTGAACCTCGAAACCCTAGCACGTCTGCACCAAGGCCCAAAGGACCATAGCTGCTGCTGGTACACAATGCTGAGGTTTCTCGTTCCCGTGTTGCTTCACACAAAGCAACAGCATTGTGTGCCATGCTGGCGCCGCCGCTGCCGCTGTCTCCTGAAGCCACGTCAGCACCAGCTTGCACGGATAACGTTGAGATGGAAGCAGTGGCTTCGGCGATTGGAGGGGGAGTGGCGGTAGAACGAGTTACAGGGATACCACCAATCTTCTTCGCCTGGAGCAGTTCAGGGTCCAGGACCTTCAGGGAATGCACCCAGTTGAGAATCTTCTGCCGATCCACCTGAGACAATCAAGCATGAAAACCGAGGAGTTTTGTGTAAGAGAGTTTGTAGCAGGGTTACAACGCTTATACCGCGTACACACCTGGTCAAGAGCTTGCAGGAGATCCAAAGCGACGATGCAGAAGTAAGCCAACGTGAGCCGGTTGGTGTCAAGTCAATTCACGATGCAAATGCTCATAATGCTAACGCTTATAGCGCGTACTCGCCTGGTCAAGAGCTTGCAGGAGATCCAGAGCGACGATGCAAAAGTAAGCCAGCGTGAGCCGGTTGCTCTCCTGCGACTCGTACGCGGCGGGAAGACCGTTGAGGCAGTTAACGAAGTAAAACACGTGGCGATCACGCTCGAAGCGCGGAGCGGCTTCAGACGCATCTTCTGCCGCTGACGACATAACGCCGATGTCCTGAATCCCCCTGATCAGTAAAACGTGAATCGGGAATGTGTTTTGTACTGTCCCGATGTCAATTTCGCAACACGTATCGCGGCCTTATGTATGTCGCGGTTCGTGAGGTCTTGGCAAACCAATTGGAGCGAACTGATGGTATGAAGATTTGGGTGGGACAGACTGATAGTAGTCCTAGTGGATGGCTTCTTGAAAAGCGCATCAGTCAGCAGCAGGTCGGATTTTGAACGATTACCGCACTGAAACAGTGTCACTGGCTACGTACCGTGCCAAACCGTGATTAACCATTCGTATACTACGGAATTGCCACCCCCCCAGGTAAACAAGTACAGTAAAGAACACCAATACCGGTAACAAATAACATTGAGCACAGATTGCTAACCCACCCACAAAGTTGAGTACCCGCAACATTCTTAAATGCTTACCTAAAACCTTTTACTCCCTCTTTTACCTCCTTTATCATCCGACCAAAACTTAGTTCCACCTTCAGCCTCAACCACCCACGCTTCCACTCCAGACACCCCTTCCCCAGATGATGCCTTTTGTGAACCTTGGCCACCCTTCTTCCACAGCCGTACTTTTTCAGGGGCAGGCAAAGATTTCTGAATGCCTCTTGTGCTGCCCCGGGTAGATGAAACACCAGTGTACACTGAAGCTGCTGAAACATGCCCTCTTTTAGATGATGCCGAAGAAGACAATAAAGAGGATGAAGGATGAGATGAATTTGAAGAAGAGCTGCTACCCTGCTCTGCCAGGTGTCGCCACCTGATTCGTGGGGCGGTCAGGTGGGTTCTGTGCAAGTCAACCTGAACTTCAGAGTGCAGGAGAGCTTCAGATTGCTGCAGCCAGATAACACCTCCCCCTGCTCTCACCTGCCCGTCCATACTCGGGCATGATGCTGAGATCGGCCCAACCAATGAGATTTCTCCACGTGGCACATTCCACTCAAACCCTCCTGAACACTCCACTCCTGTCCACGCGCTCTCGTTCCCTCTCCCACTCTTCCCCGCATCCCTCCGCTTCAAACCTCCACCACTACCTGCCAACCCATGCCGCCCATGCCCTACCGCCCCCTGCTGCTGCCGTTGACTACTTTCAGCATCCTTGATCAGCCTCGAAATGCCTCTTAACGAGCCAGATACTAACGAGGACGGCAGGCTGACCCAGCCTTTGACAGGGCCCTGTGCGACCACATGAGCATCAGCGGATAACCACCAGGGTACTTCTGCCATTGACTTGTGCTCCTGATGCTCCTCAACCTGCTCCTGCTCCTGCTCCTGCTCCTGATCCTGCTGCTGCATTGACATTTGCTGCTGGGATATCAGCCGAGGATGCTGCTGCTGCTGCAATACCTCCTCTTCATGCGGTGCTCTGGCTCTCCTCGCATCACTAGCCACACTGATAGTTGCTTCATATGTTCCCCCTTTCTCATCGGCCAAGTTCTCTTCTGCTGCTGCTGCTGCTGCTGCAGGAGTTGCACCTTCCCCTGCAGCTCCTGCTGCTGGGCTGGGTTCTCCTTGAGAGGAGACAGACTGAGCGAGAGATGCTCGAGTGATGGAGACACGAGGCAGACTCACGTGGAAGGTTCCAGGAAGGCTGCAGCTCACAGAATCTGTGAGCAACAGGCGGGATGCAGGGGCATTCCAGCTCTGTGTGTGCGTGAAAGGGAACGGGGAAGGGGGAAAGCAGAGGAAAAAGGGAGGAAGAGGGAGGCGGGTGGGGTTGGGGTGGACAACTTTCTATGTGGCAAAAGACAGAATCTGTGAGCAGCAGGCGAGATTGAGGGGCATCCCAACTCTGCGTGTGTGTGAAAGGGAACGGGGAAGGGGAAACGGGGAAGAGCGGGGGGGAAAGAGGGGGGGGGGGGGGGGGGGGGGGGGGGAGGGGAGGACGAGGGAGAGGGGTGGGGTTGGGGTGGACAAAAAGGAACGAGTGAGGATAGTGTTGGGGTGGACAAAAAGGAACGAGGGAGGATAGTGTTGGGGTGGACAAAAAGGAACGAGGGAGGATAGTGTTGGGGTGGACAAAAAGGAACGAGGGAGGATAGTGTTGGGGTGGACAAAAAGGAACGAGGGAGGATAGTGTTGGGGTGGACAAAAAGGAACGAGGGAGGATAGTGTTGGGGTGGACAAAAAGGAACGAGGGAGGATAGTGTTGGGGTGGACAAAAAGGAACGAGGGAGGATAGTGTTGGGGTGGACAAAAAGGAACGAGGGAGGATAGTGTTGGGGTGGACAAAAAGGAACGAGGGAGGATAGTGTTGGGGTGGACAAAAAGGAACGAGGGAGGATAGTGTAAGGTTTAAAAGACAGCAGGGTCCTCGTATGGTACAGGAATATTGAGAAGCATTTGATTCCGTGTAAGGTTTAAAAGACAGCAGGTGGAAGTGCAGGAGGGGTTGGGAAGGATACTCACAAGATGGCCTGACGTGAATTGCGCTCCTGACTGTGAATCTGTTACAAGCACATTTCCTGCATTCACAACTACAATAATGATAAGACACAGCTTGTTTTCTATTAATTTCAATGAGAATGCTGCTTGCTTTTCATATTGTTAATTTGACCAGCGACCTTCACTTCACCAGTGACGTTGATTGTGGAATCCAATGCTTGTGCTGAGTCGCCTCTAAACGCGTACAGAGGCCTGCCATCCTGAAACAGATGCCCTTCGACCTGATGGTGGCGACACAGAGGAGGAGACGAGCGGAGAGGAAAGGAGAGGAGAGTTGACTTTGGAGTCGACTCAAAAGTCAACTTCGTCCTGAAGTCAACAGCTGCCCTTCTACCTGATGGTGACGAGACAGAGGAGGAGACGAGCGGAGAGGAGAGGAGGGAAAGGAATGCGAGGAGAGGAGAGAGGGAAGGGAACGTGAGGAGGGATGAGGGGATGAGAGGAGGGGAGAGCGAAAGGCCTTTGAGATAAGACACGAGAAGGGGAGACGGTAAAGCTGAGAGAGACAGTAACTGAAGGACGGCAGGGATGAAACGAAGCAGGATCCAAGAAGAAATTATTCAAATCAAACGAGGGCATTAATGTAGGTGAGGGCATTTATGGGTTATGTTGATTACCTTGGTCGCCATGACACCACCTTCCGCCATTCCTTGGGCTTCTCTCTCATCCTTCCTCTCCCCATCCAGGTTTTCCTTCCCCCTCTCCTCCCCCTCCCCTTCCCTGCGCCTCTCCGCTTCCCCAGCCACGCCGGAGCGCAGCGAATCGGCGCGCAGCGACCACGCCAGCTGGCAGCCGCTCATAGGATCTCCCGCGCTGACGAATCGCTGAAGAACTATGCCTCGCGCAGAGAGCGATGCGGAAGGCGCGCCGTCACCACCACTCCCGACATTCTCGCTGCCGCCATTTCCCGCGGTGGCCCTGCTAGCTTCAGTTTTGTTTGCTGGGAGCTGACCACTTTCGCGAACTGTGTTTTTTTTACGCCGGATCCGTTCGTATACATTTCGCGAATGCTCGCCAAGCGAGAAAATGCGTTGCGAAGTGCCGTCGCGAAACGCCCGTAACGCATCGTCACGTCCCCGTACCCCGGATACGCTGGCCATGCGTACCGGAGTCGCATGGACGAAGCCGAGTGCGGAAGATCAGAGGTGGATGCGAAATGCGAAATGGAACTATGGAGAAATGTGCTCTTTGGTTGGTCTACTGATCAGCCCCATATCATTCCTCGATACTAGCTGCTCCGTAGTTTCCTCAACAAAGGTCGAACTCCGGAAGGTTATTTGAGACGAAACTTTTCACTAATGAAATGCTTCAGGCAACGAAGCAAGACAAATCAGATTCAGCCTCTAAATCTAATGGATCAATCTGTACCGCTCCACGCATTTCTGCTGAATCCCTACAAAGCCGTACCTTCATCGTGCCACCCGTCTTCTTTCCATGCTTTCAGTAGACCTTGGAATTGGCAGTGGATGAGCCTCTGTATTGAAGACGTATTTGTCAAATGGAAGAACATCCTTCTCCCCAAAGAGGAGGTAGAAGTACTTGAGGGTTTCCCCGAGGAAGAACGTTTCCATCTTGTTACGCTTTGGAGGGGGCACCCGAGAGACATCGTCAAGCGAAGTGTATCCGCCTGATGCCACACGCGTATGTTGTTCAAATGCTTGGAACATCTTCCACCCCGCCTCGCGATACCTGCAGTTCATGTGACAAAAAACAACAGTAAGGCGATAAAATAACTTCAGAGCACATGCGGAGTGGCTGTCACGCGGATCATATCAAAAGCCAAGATACTCCATAAGCGGTCCGACTCAAACTCAAATAACCCTATTCCCACTGACTTGGTGCATGTACAAAAGCCTCCATTGCCTCGAGTCTCTCTCTCTCACACAAGCACCATGGATACCCAGACACACCTTAAATTCCCACTGACCCATTGCATTTAAAACAGGGCCTCCTCAATCTGGGGCATCAGCAGGCTTCCAGTAACCAGGTTACATACCATGGGTTCCCAGTAACCCAGTGCATATAAACCAGTGCTTCCACCATCTCTGGCCACTGCAGGTGGGGAGCACTGTTCTGTTCGCCCTGCACCCTGATAAACCATAAACTCCCAGTAACCAGGTTACATACCGTGTGTTCCCAGTAACCCGGTGCATGTAAAGCAGCGCCTCCACCGTTTCGGGTCGCAGCAGGTTGTGCCGGTCCGCCTGGTGGATCTGAATGTCCCTCCCATACTCGGCGTCGTGCCTTGTCCCCATGTACTCCTTAGAATCGTCCTGCGGGTTTCGAAGGAGCAATAAGGGAAGAAACAGGACTCAACAAGTTGTGCCAGTCTGCCTGGTGGATCTGAATGTCCCTCCCATACTTGGCGTCGTGCCTTGTCCCCATGTACTCCTGAGAATCGTCCTGCGGGTTTCGAAGGAGCAATAAGGGAAGAAACAGGACTCAACAAGTTGTGCCAGTCTGCCTGGTGGATCTGAATGTCCCTCCCATACTCGGCGTCGTGCCTTGTCCCCATGTACTCCTGAGAATCGTCCTGCGGGTTTCGAAGGAGCAATAAGGGAAGAAACAGGACTCAACAAGTTGTGCCGGTCTGCCAGGTGGATCTGAATGTCCCTCCCATACTCGGCGTTGTGCCTTGTCCCCATGTACTCCTGAGAATCGTCCTGCGGGTTTCGAAGGAGCAATAAGGGAAGAAACAGGACTCAACAAGTTGTGCCGGTCTGCCAGGTGGATCTGAATGTCCCTCCCATACTCGGCGTTGTGCCTTGTCCCCATGTACTCCTGAGAATCGTCCTGGAGACGGCACATAGGCAAAAGAAAAGAAAAGAATCAACAGAAGCCAACAGGAATGAAATAAAGTCAAGTAAAATGAGGCGGTTTTTTAAGTGGCTAGAAATCGGCTCGTATTTTGAGGAGCCTCAGAAATGTGTCCGCCTGGTGAATCTGAATGTCCCTCCCATACTCGGCGTCGTGCCTTGTCCCCATGTACTCCTGAGAATCCTCCTGATGATTCGGCACGTAGGCAAAAAAAAAAAGGAATCAGCAGAAGCCAACAAGTAAAATGAGGAGATTTTTGAGGTGGCGAAAAATCGGCCCGTATTTTGAGGCGCCTCAGAAACGTGTCTGCCTGGTGGATCTGAATGACCCTCCCTCCCATACTCTGCGTCACGCCTTGTCCGCATGCACTCCTGATAATCTTCCTTGAGTTTTATCAAGCAAAAAAGGGGGAGAAAACAAGACTCAACTGGAGAGAAATCAATAAAAAAACAAAGCTGACAGAAGAATGGGAGCTGCAGACAGCAGTGATGTGCTGCACATCCCTGGTACCAAGGCAATGCCTGTCATTTCAGTCCTGGTCCTTTCACCTGCACATTGAAGTAGGCTATTTCAGGCGCCAGGCCAGCGGCTGTCACTTCATACATCTGAGATGAAAGTCCTTGTCAAGTTCCCTGCCAGCTGCAGCAGCCCTTATTGTAAGGAAGTGAGATCAGAACACAGGCAGCTAGCAACAGGGGAACCCACTCACGCGCATGTTGAAGTAGGCTATCTCAGGCGCCAGACCAGTGGCTGTCACTTGATACATCTGAATGCACGCCTCTGTCAGCAGCAGAGCCCACTCACCACAGGCACCAGAAAGAGCAGGGCTGGTACCAGGGAAACCCACTCACGCGCATGTTGAAGTAGGCTATCTCAGGCGCCAGCCCAGTGGCTGTCACTTGATACATCTGAATGCACGCCTCTGTCAGCAGCAGAGCCCACTCACCACAGGCACCAGAAAGAGCAGGGCTGGTACCAGGGAAACCCACTCACGCGCATGTTGAAGTAGGCTATCTCAGGCGCCAGACCAGTGGCTGTCACTTCATACATCTGAATGCACGCCTCCGTCAGCAGCAGAGCCCACTCACCACAGGCACCAGAAAGAGCAGGGCTGGTACCAGGGAAACCCACTCACGCGCATGTTGAAGTAGGCTATCTCAGGCGCCAGCCCAGTGGCTGTCACTTGATACATCTGAATGCACGCCTCCGTCAGCAGCAGAGCCCACTCACCACAGGCACCAGAAAGAGCAGGGCTGGTACCAGGGAAACCCACTCACGCGCATGTTGAAGTAGGCTATCTCAGGCGCCAGCCCAGTGGCTGTCACTTGATACATCTGAATGCACGCCTCTGTCAGCAGCAGAGCCCACTCACCACAGGCACCAGAAAGAGCAGGGCTGGTACCAGGGAAACCCACTCACGCGCATGTTGAAGTAGGCTATCTCAGGCGCCAGACCAGTGGCTGTCACTTCATACATCTGAATGCACGCCTCCGTCAGCAGCAGAGCCCACTCACCACAGGCACCAGAAAGAGCAGGGCTGGTACCAGGGAAACCCACTCACGCGCATGTTGAAGTAGGCTATCTCAGGCGCCAGCCCAGTGGCTGTCACTTGATACATCTGAATGCACGCCTCCGTCAGCAGCAGAGCCCACTCACCACAGGCACCAGAAAGAGCAGGGCTGGTACCAGGGAAACCCACTCACGCGCATGTTGAAGTAGGCTATCTCAGGCGCCAGCCCAGTGGCTGTCACTTGATACATCTGAATGCACGCCTCCGTCAGCAGCAGAGCCCACTCACCACAGGCACCAGAAAGAGCAGGGCTGGTACCAGGGAAACCCACTCACGCGCATGTTGAAGTAGGCTATCTCAGGCGCCAGCCCAGTGGCTGTCACTTGATACATCTGAATGCACGCCTCTGTCAGCAGCAGAGCCCACTCACCACAGGCACCAGAAAGAGCAGGGCTGGTACCAGGGAAACCCACTCACGCGCATGTTGAAGTAGGCTATCTCAGGCGCCAGACCAGTGGCTGTCACTTGATACATCTGAATGCACGCCTCCGTCAGCAGCAGAGCCCACTCACCACAGGCACCAGAAAGAGCAGGGCTGGTACCAGGGAAACCCACTCACGCGCATGTTGAAGTAGGCTATCTCAGGCGCCAGCCCAGTGGCTGTCACTTCATACATCTGAATGCACGCCTCCGTCAGCAGCAGAGCCCACTCACCACAGGCACCAGAAAGAGCAGGGCTGGTACCAGGGAAACCCACTCACGCGCATGTTGAAGTAGGCTATCTCAGGCGCCAGCCCAGTGGCTGTCACTTGATACATCTGAATGCACGCCTCCGTCAGCAGCAGAGCCCACTCACCACAGGCACCAGAAAGAGCAGGGCTGGTACCAGGGAAACCCACTCACGCGCATGTTGAAGTAGGCTATCTCAGGCGCCAGCCCAGTGGCTGTCACTTGATACATCTGAATGCACGCCTCTGTCAGCAGCAGAGCCCACTCACCACAGGCACCAGAAAGAGCAGGGCTGGTACCAGGGAAACCCACTCACGCGCATGTTGAAGTAGGCTATCTCAGGCGCCAGACCAGTGGCTGTCACTTCATACATCTGAATGCACGCCTCCGTCAGCAGCAGAGCCCACTCACCACAGGCACCAGAAAGAGCAGGGCTGGTACCAGGGAAACCCACTCACGCGCATGTTGAAGTAGGCTATCTCAGGCGCCAGCCCAGTGGCTGTCACTTGATACATCTGAATGCACGCCTCCGTCAGCAGCAGAGCCCACTCACCACAGGCACCAGAAAGAGCAGGGCTGGTACCAGGGAAACCCACTCACGCGCATGTTGAAGTAGGCTATCTCAGGCGCCAGCCCAGTGGCTGTCACTTGATACATCTGAATGCACGCCTCCGTCAGCAGCAGAGCCCACTCACCACAGGCACCAGAAAGAGCAGGGCTGGTACCAGGGAAACCCACTCACGCGCATGTTGAAGTAGGCTATCTCAGGCGCCAGCCCAGTGGCTGTCACTTGATACATCTGAATGCACGCCTCTGTCAGCAGCAGAGCCCACTCACCACAGGCACCAGAAAGAGCAGGGCTGGTACCAGGGAAACCCACTCACGCGCATGTTGAAGTAGGCTATCTCAGGCGCCAGACCAGTGGCTGTCACTTCATACATCTGAATGCACGCCTCCGTCAGCAGCAGAGCCCACTCACCACAGGCACCAGAAAGAGCAGGGCTGGTACCAGGGAAACCCACTCACGCGCATGTTGAAGTAGGCTATCTCAGGCGCCAGCCCAGTGGCTGTCACTTCATACATCTGAATGCACGCCTCCGTCAGCAGCAGAGCCCACTCACCACAGGCACCAGAAAGAGCAGGGCTGGTACCAGGGAAACCCACTCACGCGCATGTTGAAGTAGGCTATCTCAGGCGCCAGCCCAGTGGCTGTCACTTGATACATCTGAATGCACGCCTCCGTCAGCAGCAGAGCCCACTCACCACAGGCACCAGAAAGAGCAGGGCTGGTACCAGGGAAACCCACTCACGCGCATGTTGAAGTAGGCTATCTCAGGCGCCAGCCCAGTGGCTGTCACTTGATACATCTGAATGCACGCCTCCGTCAGCAGCAGAGCCCACTCACCACAGGCACCAGAAAGAGCAGGGCTGGTACCAGGGAAACCCACTCACGCGCATGTTGAAGTAGGCTATCTCAGGCGCCAGCCCAGTGGCTGTCACTTGATACATCTGAATGCACGCCTCTGTCAGCAGCAGAGCCCACTCACCACAGGCACCAGAAAGAGCAGGGCTGGTACCAGGGAAACCCACTCACGCGCATGTTGAAGTAGGCTATCTCAGGCGCCAGCCCAGTGGCTGTCACTTGATACATCTGAATGCACGCCTCCGTCAGCAGCAGAGCCCACTCACCACAGGCACCAGAAAGAGCAGGGCTGGTACCAGGGAAACCCACTCACGCGCATGTTGAAGTAGGCTATCTCAGGCGCCAGCCCAGTGGCTGTCACTTGATACATCTGAATGCACGCCTCCGTCACGTTCCTTGCCAAGTCCAGCAGCTCCCTCCCCTGCTGTGTCAGCACGCCCTTTGCTGCTGCCTCTGCCTCTGTCAGCCCCTCAGTCGCTCTCAGGGCTAGAGATCCTGGCAGGAAGCACACCTGTAAGGGAGGAAACAGGAGACAAAAACAAGAAAGTTTCGAGTTGTCTCAGCAGCTCCAGAAGCTCTCTCCCCTGCGGCGTCAACTTTTGAGTCGACTCAAAAGTCAACACCTACAGAAGCTCTCTCCCCTGCGGCGTCAACACGCCCCTTGCTGCTGCCTCTGCCTCTGTCAACCCTTCCTTGCTCTTAGAGCTAAGGACCTCGGCAGAAAGCAGACCTGTATAGGAGGAAAGGAGGAAAAGTTTTTAGTATATGAGTATCCAGCAGGTTGAGGCCGCGGCGCAAAACAGAGGTTTTTTAGTTGACTCAAAATCGGCAGGAAGCAGACCTGTAGAGGAGGAAAGGAGGAAAAGTTATTAGTAAATGAGTATCCAGCAGGTTGAGGCCGAGGCGCAAAACAAAGAATCCAACGGCCATAATTCATCCATCCAAGCAGAGAGAATCCAAAGGCATGGAGGGGTCTCACGAGGTGGCCCATCTTGGGGTGCATCTCCCAGTGTTCCCCTTGGATTGACCCCTTCACCGTTGAAATTTAACAGCCATAATTCATCCATCCAAGCAGAGGGAATCTAACGGTTGGGAGGGATCTCACCAGGTGGTCCATCTTGGGGTGCATCTCCCCTGTCAGCCCTGACGGCCGCTCAGCAATGAAGGTGAGGCCCTTGGGGTGGCTGCGCGCCACCAGCCACTTGCGCATGCCCGCCACCGCCTCGTCAAACATCTCCGCCAGATACTCCACATGCGCGCCCCTCTTCCCTCCTGCTGCTCCTGCTCCATCTCCTCCTCCCGCTCCTACTCCTTCTCTTGCTCCTACTCCTTCCCTGCTCTTGTCACCACCGCCAGCACCAGCACCAGCACCAGCACCAGCACCAGCACCAGCACCAGCACCAGCACCGGCTGCATCGGTGCCGTTTGATCGCCCATCACCGCTTGCTGGAAAGCTTGTGGTTACCACTTGCAGCAGCGCGGGGGTTTGGTCCCGCTGCTGCAGGTACGCCTTGATGAGATACTCGTAGTAGCTGTCTCCCCTTGAGCCCAGACGGATGTTTTCACCTGAGAACCTACCAGAGTCGGGGCTGAGCGGGAGGGAGGGAAGGAGGGAAGGAGGGGAGAGTAGGAGGGAGAAAGGGAGGGAGGAAGGGCACAAGAAGATTCGGATATGACACACGTGGGTTACCACTTGCAGCAGCGAGTCAGGGTGGTCCCGCTGCTGCAGGTACGCCTTGATGAGATACTCGTAGTAGCTGTCTCCCCTTGACCCCAGGCGAATGTTCTCACCTGAGAACCTACCAGAGTCGGGACTGGGAGGGGACGGAGGGCAAAGGGAGGGAGAAACGGAAGCAAGCACACGCCTTGATGAGATACTCGTAGTAGCTGTCTCCCCTTGACCCCAGGCGGATGTTCTCACCTGAGAACCTACCAGAGTCAGGACTGGGAGGGGATGGAGGGCACAGGAAGTTACGGATGATAAGTTACTCGATGAGGCACAATCGAGCCCCACTTAGAGGCCATGGGTCGACTTTTGAGTCGACTCAAAAGTCACTAAGTTGTGGATGGTAAGTTACTCGATGAGGCACTCGTAGCAGCTGTCTCCCTTGGACCCCAGGCGGATGTGCTCACCTGAAAACTGCCCAGAGTCAAGACTACCAAGGTCGGGAGGGAGAGAAGGTGGGAGGAAGGGAGGGAGGGAGGGAGGTCGGGAGGGAGGGAGGGAGGGAGGGAGGGAGGGAGGGAGGGAGGGAGGGAGGGAGGGAGGGAGGGAGGGAGGGAGGGAGGGAGGGAGGGAGGGAGGGAGGGAGGGAGGAAGAGGAGGGAGGGAGGGAGGGAGGGCAGGGAAGAAAGCACACGCCTTGATGAGGTACTCGTAGCAGCTGTCTCCCCTGGACCCCAGGCGGATGTGCTCACCTGAGAACCGCCCAGAGTCCGGACTGGGAGGGAGGAAGGGAGGGAGGGAGGGATACACAAGATACGAATACACACAAGTGCCTACCACATGTAGATCGCTTCTTGAGTCGACTCAAAAATCGACTCATCACACGAGGAAGGGAGGGAGGGATACACAAGATACGATGTTTAAGGGCGGATTCGATCGCAGCAAGCCAACTGAGGTCACTCATGTCTAGATCTAAATGGATCTAACCAGATTTAAATGGATCTAACCAGATTTAAATGGATCCAACCAGATTTAAATGGATCTAACCAGATCTAAATGGATCTAACCAGATCTAAATGGATCTAACCAGATCTAAATGGATCTAACCAGATCTAAATGGATCTTACCAGATCTAAATGGATCTAACCAGATCTAAATGGATCTAACCAGATCTAAATGGATCTAACCAGATCTAAATGGATCTAACCAGATCTAAATGGATCTAACCAGATCTAAATGGATCTAACCAGATCTAAATGGATCTAACCAGATCTAAATGGATCTAACCAGATCTAAATGGACCCAACCAGATTTAAATGGATCTAACCAGATTCAACTAGGAGAGAAGAAAGCGAGTAGAAGAAAGACTTAGTAAGTCAATCAGTAAGACAAAACATCGCCCGGCACAAGCCCGCCGGATCGATGCAGCCCCCGCACGTGCTCCACCACCTGCGTCACTGCTGCACCACACCTGCTCGCCCATGCTTCATGCTTCCCCATATCACTCACTCCATGTAGATGGGCACGAGTCCGTCAAGTCAAGTCGTCGCAGCCCCCGCACGTGCTCCATCACCTGCATCGCTGCTGCATGGCTCCCTCCCTTCCTCTCCCCCACCCCACCCCACCCCACCCCACCCCACCCCTTACAACTCCTCAATCTACCCCGTTTTACTCACTCCATGTATATCGGCACCAATCCATCCAGTCGATGCAGCCCCCGCACGTGCTCCATCACCTGCATCGCTGCTGCTCCGTACTTCCTCTCCCCCGTCAGTCTACTCAGCTCCCAGAACTCCAACTGGACCGTCGTGCACTCCGCTGTGCTGCTCAGCCCGCCACCATTGGCCCGCTGTGCGTAGCTGGTGGGAGCATGCGGGGGGAAACAGGTACACAAGGACAGATGCCACTCAGAAAGGGAGAGTGCCTCTCCTCTCCCCCGTGAGTCTACTCAATTCCCAGAACTCCAGCTGGACCGTCGTGCACTCCGCTGTGCTGCTCAGCCCGCCGCCGTTGGCTCGCTGGGCGTATCTGTTGCATGGGTGGGCAGAGCAGAGGGCAGAAGCACACAGGGACAGAAGCAACTCAGCAACCGAGAGTGCCTACTCTACTTCCTCTCCCCCGTGAGTCGGCTCAGCTCCCACAACCCCAGCTGCACCGTCGTGCACTCTGCCGGGTGTTTTTGAGAATTCTCATAAGGGTGTTATTGAGAATTCTCATAAGGGTGTTTTTGAAAGTTCTCAAAACACCCTCTAGCTGCACCGTCGTGCACTCTGCTGTGCTGCTCAGCCCGCCCCCCATGACCCGCTGGGCATAGCTGGTGGGAGGGTGTGAGGAAGAGGAGAAGCATACAAGGACAGAACCAAATGAGCTAGGGAAAGTGTTGCTTTTTCCCGTGGGTCGGCTAAGCTCCCACAACTCCAGCTGCACTGTCGTGCCCTCTGCTGTGCTGCTCAGTCCGCCCCCCATGGCCCGCTCGACATAGCTGGTCGGAGGAAAGGAGACGTGTTGGAAGGAGAAGCGAAGGAAGCGTGAGGAAGAGTCACAGCACGCACGCACACGCCGCTGCTGGGCCAGCCAGGTACACGTCTGACAGAGGTACGGGCGTGGGACTGCACCCCTCTTGGCTTGCTTACAAGGGATCACAGAAAGGTTCACAGCACGCACGCACCACCGCTGGGCCAGCCAGGTACACGTCTGACAGGGGCTCTTTGCTGCTGGCTTCTTCGCGTGAAGGGGGTCTCATAAAGGGTCACAGCACTCACCGTCCAGCCAGGTATACGTCTGAGAGGGGCACGGGCGTGGGACTCTGGGTGAGGGCGAGCATGAGACGATCCGCCAAGTCAACTGCCACTTCAAGGTACTTCTCAGCTGCCGGTCCCCCTACGTCCTCCTGCACCCCCCCTCCTCCTCCTGTATTTCCTCCTCCCCCTCCTCTTCCCACGCCTCCTCCCCCTCGCCAGCTCGGGTCCTTTTTCAGGTGGTATGCACTCAGCAAACCACCCAGAACCCGGATTGTCGTCTCGAAAAAATTCACCTGCCCGGCATGGTTGATTTTCTCAGGCAGAGTAGTAGCAACCCACTGGCCAGCCTCGTCTACTATGTCTTTAATCCCCATAATCATCGCAGTATCTAGACCGTCCACTATCGTAGCCCCGAGCCTGCCCAGCCCGTCCTCCCCGCCTCGGCTCAACGGCATGAGCTCGTCCGAACCAAACGCGTAGGTTCGGTAGCCCTTCCAAGCGTGCCGGAAGGCGGCAACCACCTGCTTCTGCCGTTCCTTCCACACAGCTTCGGCTTCGGAACTGTGGGACTCAAAATCCCGTGAAATGCCCCCTGCAGCAGCACTCCTGTTCCCCACACCAATTCCTAACCCTTCTCCGCCTTCTCTCCCTTCCGCCCCTCCCCTTCCTTCTCTCTCAAGCCCCCCTCCTGCCCATCCGTCCGCTGGCCAACCCCCCTTCCTTCCTCCAAGAACCCCTCCCCTTCTCCCCAGCTCCCCCCTCTCCCTTTGCCTCCTCCTCGCTCTGCCCATCCACATTCTCGCGCCTTCCCCTGCCAGCTCCCTCGCTCGCCCGTCCCTCAACATCCCCTTAGCCCACTCCTTCCTAAAATCTTTTCTGATCGTTCCTCGTGAAGACAGCAGGTTCAAGCTTGAATTCCCCATCATCACTCCCCTGCCTTCCCCGCTCCAACGTCCCTCCCCTCCTCCCTGCCCTTCCACGCCTGCTTCGTCCCGGACCAGCCCAAGAGGGTCGGTGAGCCTCGCCCCGGTGGCTCCCAAGCCTCGGCTGCCGTTCCTGAGCTTCAGGTCCGGGACCTCGTCTCTGGGTTGGTTCGCGAGCTCCTCTCTCTGCCTCTCCAATTCCTCATCCAATTCCTGCTTCCTTCTCTCTACCTCCAACTCTTCCTCCTTCGCCCTCACTGTTGCTTCGTCTAATTCTCGCCTCCCCCCCAACTTCTCCACCTCCTCTTCCTCCCCCGTCTCCTTCTCCTTATCCTTTCCCCCGCGTTTCCGAATCTGCTCCTCCTGCTTCCGTCTTTCTTCCTTCCGTCGACGTTTCTCCCTCAACTCTCGTGCCATGCTGTCGGCCCACGTCTCGTCCTCTGCTCCTCGGCCTTCCCCACTCATCCTCTCTCTGCCTTCGTCACTCGCTCGCTCCACACCTCCACTGTGTCTCTTCTCTCTCTCCACTCTCTCCCCTCTCGTCTCCCCCTCCTGTTGTCCCCCCTCCACTGCTTTCACGCCGGATGAATCAGCTGAGGAAGAAGAGGAAGAAACAGAAGAGGAGGAGGAGCGGGAGCGGCGGGAGGAGACGGAGACGGAGAGGAGCCAGAGGAGGAAGAGGAAGGCGAGGAGGCCGACGAATTGGCGCGCGGGGGATTGGCGGAAGTAGATCGCCACGCGCTGATGGGGGAAGGAGGCGGAAGCAGGGGGGAAAGTGGAGTTGGGGAGGGGAGAGAAAAGGCGGAGGATGAGGGGTGGGGGAGAGGCAAAGAGGAAGGGGGTTTGAGAGAGTGGGTGAACGGGAGGAAGAAATGTGAAAAGGAAGGAGTGAGTTGGTCGTGAGACTAGATTCGTAAGTCTCTTACGAGTCCGAATACAGGAAACGGTTCACAAGCAGTTGAGAAAAACAAGAGTCTGACGAACGGTACTGTGGGATCACCACGGGGAAACACGGGAAAGTAAGGAGGCACTAAAATCGAGGAGAAAAGAAGAACGGAGACCAAGGAAAAAAGTGAATTACCCTGAATAACGCTTCTCTGGTCTCCAAGCCTACCCTATAGGTTCCTACAACAGCCAGTCCAACTTAAACGATGCCAACCTTAACGCGTTTCACAATAGCGAGTATGACCTAACCATACCTTAACGAGTCCTCCCCGTCGCCGGGATTTTGCGTTGTCGTAAGAATCGATGGACTCGCCCAAGGACGTCGCCATTGCATCGATCAAGGAAGGGCGAACCTTAATCAAGGAGCATGGAATCTTCACACCAGTTACGGTAAAACGCCAATCTACATAACAGGATGCCGGGGCCTTCTCTTAAGTGAGACGCATCAGCAACAACCTGAGTCTTTTCTCTAGTGAACTCTTTTTTAGTGACGCCTCAAACACAGACGACTCTTAAAACATTAATCTACAAGATGGTAGGCCAGCGCGGCGGATGCGGCCTGGAGAGGCTGAGAAAGCCCCCGAGGCCGACTCGGGCCTGTGAGGTGTATGATAAGTGAAAATTTAAAAGGAATACTGGCCTAATGGCTTGAGATGGCTGTCACATCAGGGCGACAAGGAGAGTGTTGGAACAACTTGGGTGGTGGGTGAATGATGACCAGATTCAGAAGCAGAACGCAGCACACCGCAAGCGGTTTTTGCAGATTTTGTACGATCCACGACGTTTCGGTGGTATGAACAACGGTTTTGCAGGGTTTTGTGCGAGGGCTTCCATGACACGATTTGGTGCTTTCATTGGTGGAGTTCCCGAAGGCCGTGCTCTGACCGCAGCTGACAGCTAAACGCGCTTGGTTGGATTCCCGCCTTCAACGTCTATTTTGTCCGCGTTAGCAAATTACCGCAATACCATTATTTAGCATTCCACTCATGCAAACATTTACCTCCTCCAATATATGCTGGAAAAACATAGAAAAAAAACAAGCAGCTAATGGACCATAAAGAGATCTTCATTGCCTCCACTTAATCTTCACATTTTCTTTAGATCTGCCATCGCATATGTGCCCATCATGACACGATGTGAGCCCGAGACTCTCCCTCAGATATCCTATGTGGTGAGAGAATGTTGACCGATCAGTAATCATTGTAACCACAGCGTGCGCTGCCACTAGCTTATCCACCATGGCTCGCTGACCTGGCTGAAGATTCAGCTCCTTAGGCAATCTGACAACCACAATTGACCATGCTATTCCCCTCACCCTTGCAAGTGATGCCTGCGACTGTAACTGCTCTTTAAAAAACTCCACCTCCTCATCAGGAGCATCAGAGGAAACGAAAAGGTTGGTCAGGTTTAACTGCATCATTTTAAATGCAGTGCACTCCGCCGCCGCCTGTAACGGCCAGTAATGTAGATCCGTCATCCGGTGGCTATGCTCAAGAAAATCCGTCCGCCGAAGGTGAATAGCAGCATAATCCCTCCCAACGTACTCTTCTATGAACCCTGCAGCTTGGTCAAGCACTTGCTGGGGAGGCTGGAAGAGCAGCTCACACTTGCTGGAAGGCTGGAAGAATCGGCTTGGCCAAAAAAATTCCGAACCAGGATAATCAACCATGAAGAATGAGAAGAAGAGGTCACCCAGAGCAAGCACAGGAACGTCAGCAGTCGCAGCTGCTATCTTAGGAGCCAGGTCAAAGAGATTACCCTCCTCCTCCGGGACAGTCTCTTTCTGTAAGAGCTTGATTTCTGCCGTCTCGCCGCAGGTACCATCTATGAAGGTACAGCTGTACTGCACCTGACCGCAGAAGAATTTATCAACTACTAAGTCGCTCCCATTACCGCCTCTTAGAGTGTTGAACTCTAATCCTGTTATCACCTTGCGGAGAGGCAGCGAACCTGCTTCAAGACCTGGTTGCTCAGGTATAGACTCGTCTCCAAAGCACTGGGACAAGTGGCCAATGTCTAGGGTTTCAGAATACACCACCGGCCGGCCTTGAGAGCGAGGGACGCAGAGAGGAACCTCGGGAACCAGCAGCGTGCGATTGAGGAGAATCGCTGCCAGAATGGTCTTCTGAAAGCAAAGGAGGCGATTGGTGGTTGCACCGTTGGTGCATGAAAGCATAAGGTACCGGTTGGGTTGTGGGGTCCATTCCGGTGCTGCAGTAACAGGTTCGGTTGTGGATGATGAAGAAGGCGGGAGCTGGACGCCAATGGGAGCGGCGCACGTGTCACTTGAGAGCTGCTCATTTGGGGATGGATTTAGTGGCCTCGGACTGACAGACTGCTGCAACCGGATCACTGTGCTTGTATCGAGACCAGACGCATCCGCTTGAGAAATATCCGCTGACTGAGAATACTCGGAACGGACAGGAAGAGGCTGAGGGGATAAAACGGTCGAACAAGGGGAGGCTGAGAGGTACCCGAGACTGAACATAACGGCGGCGACGAGGAGGAGGTGGCTGTAGTAGGGAAGCGGGTGAAGCTGGGCGAGCAGGTTCGACCGTTGCTGCTCCTGCTGCTCCTGCTGCTGCTGCTGCTGCTTCTCCAGGTGATGCGGTACGTCATTATGGTGTAATGGAAGGGAGGGAGACAACGTCGTCATAGTGATGAATCACAAGCTTACCAGGAGCTACAAAGCTAAAGCTACAAGAAGCGGGTTCGCGTTCTTTGTGATTTCTGAAATCATAAGCCGTGATCCTCTCACCAGCCGCAAAGAACGATTGCTGAGGTTATCGCGGAAGTTCTCTAGGTTGTCTAGAGCTCCCAGAGGTGGTCTGGAGCTGTTTTCCCTGAGATTTGTCAAGCTATCGGATGCACCCGCCGCCGGATATTCGTTACAAAAGCGTTCAACGCCGGCCAGGACGGTAAAGAATCAGTAGTTTGGGCTGTCACACAGGTTGCTCCTGTCACACAGTAAACTGCTGAGAGGGCCTGCGTCCAAGAATCCTCGGAGACGATGTAATTCCGTCAGCGAATTGACGGACGTCGCCGAATTAGCGATACCTAGTAGTGCCGAACAGAAACTTGACATTTGCACGCCTCTTATCAGGTTTGTATCGTGGAGGGACCTCGCTGAGCAGAAAACGATGCGAGTGAGCTGTTTGGATTTCATCAGAGGACTTCGTTCCCTCCCAGGGTACAATCCCTTGACCTCCATCGTCAGCAAACGTCGAGCACCACTTCGAACAAACTACCGGCCAAGAATGCGCGGGAAGAACACCTTGGAGCTTGAGACAAATGCAGGCGTTTCAAACTCAGTCCGTCTGAGCCTGTTGACTTGATTTGAGGCAACTGAATGCCCTCAAACCTTGATTCCCTCCAGCCGAGGGAACTATTGTGGTATTCCCTCAACCCAGCTGATCCAGGTCTGTTTACCTTTTCCGCCGCGCCACCAAACGACGAGCACCACTTCGCCGGCTCTCTCCCTGCTGGGAGGGACCTGCGGTAGAAAACGGACAGCGTAGGGTCCACTCCCCTCCCCTCCTCGCAGCAGCCCTGCCAGGCCAGCCAAGTGGCTTGAAGGGGCGACCAATTCTCTTGAGTGTCCACTATCATGTAGACTCGACTGAGCTCAACGAAACAAATTACCGTTAGTGCATTGAGATATACCAGCGTACAAAATAAAAAAAAGCAACATAGCAACCTATACAATATTAAAAATGTCATATACGCTATGAAAAACATTAGACTGTGGGCTAGTGATACGTTAACATATGCTTACAAATCATAACAACGAATGACCAACTGATTGATAATAATATAAAACGTCTTCACTGCCTCCATTTAATATCAACAGCTTCTTTAAATCGGCCATAGCAAATGTGCCCATCATGACACGATGTGAGCCCCAAACTCTCCCTTAAATACCCTATGTGGTGAGAGAACGTTGACCGATGGGTAACTACTGTAACCGAGGCGTGCGCTGCCACTAGCTTATCCATCATAGCTCGCTGACCTGGTTGTAGATTCAGCTCCTTGGGCAATCTGACAACAACAATTGACCATGCTTTTCCCCTCGCCCTTGCAAGTGATGCCTGCGACTGTAACTGCTCCTTAAAAACCTCCACCTCCTCATCAGAAGCATCAGATGAAAGAAAAAGGTTGGTCAGGTTTAACTGCACCATTTTCGATGCAGTACACTCCGCCACCACCTGTAACGGCCAGTACTGTACGTTCATCATGTGGCTATGGTCGAGAAAATCCGTTCGGCGAAGGTGTAGAGAAGCGTAGTTCCCCCCAAAGTACTCTTCTATGAACCCTGCAGCTTGGTCAAGCACTTGCTGGGGAGGCTGGAAAAGCAGCTTACACTGAGTATTATAGAATCGGCTTGGCCAGAAGTATTCGGGACCAGGATCTCCAATCTTGGAGAATGAGAAGAACAGGTCACCCAGAGCGAGGACAGGAACGTCAGCAGTTGCAGCTGCAATCTTAGGAGCCAGGGCATAGAGATTACCTCTCTCCTCCCCGAGAATTTCTTTCTTTAAGAGTTTTATCTCAGGAGGAATGTCTCCGCAGCTGCCATCTATAAAGGTACAGCTGAACTGCACCTGACCACAGAGGAATTTATTAACTACTAATTCGCTTCCACCACCCCCTTTTAGGTTCAAGAACTCCGATCCTGTTACCACCTTATGGAGAGGCTGGCCATGCTTAAGCGAACCTGCTTTCGAGCCTGCGTCTGCTCCGTTTTCCGGACCTGGTTGCTCAGGTTTGGGCAAGCCTCCGAAGCACTGAGACAAGTGGCCAATGTCTAGGGTTTCAGAATACACCACCGGCCGGCCAAGAGAGCGAGGGATGCAGAGAGGAACCTCGGGAATGAGCAGCGTGCGGTTCAGGAGAATTGATGCAAGAATGGTCTTTTGAAGGCATAAGAGGCGATTCGTACTTCCGCCGTTGGTGCATGAAACCATAAGGTACCGGTTGGGTAATGGGACCCATTCTGGTGCTGCTGTAAGAGGTTCGGGTGTGGATGATGGAGAAGGGGGGAGCCTGACGCCAATGGGAGCGGCGCACGTGTCATCTGAGCGTTGTTGGTCATCCCGAACCTGCCTGTCTCGTAGGCTCTGGTCCGGGGTCTGGTTCGGAAGTGATGGTGTGGGGTCTGGTCCGGATCCAGGCTTGGACGGAATGTCAGCTGGAGATGAATTTAGTAGCCTCGGACTGACAGTTTGCTGCAGGTGGAGCATTGTGCTTGTATCGCGGCTAGGAGCATCCATTTGACGGGAATCCGAAGGCTGAAGTGGACCAACCGGACCACTAACGGTCCGATCCGGAACGGGATCAGTGCCAACTTTTCCCAGCTTTCCCGAATGCGATGATTCAGAAGAATGAGGCGTCTCGAAGGTGATAGGAAGCTCTGAATCTGATGTCTCAGACAGCCTTGAGGGGCCTTGCAGTGATTGAGCAGAGTAGGCTGAGAGGTACGCGACGCAGGTGACGGCGGCGACGAGGAGGAGGTGGCAGTGCAGCTGGTGAAGCTGAGTAAGCAGAGAGGACCGTTGCTGCTGCTGGTGCGGTCGATGCGGTACGCCATGGCGTAACGGGAGGAACGTGGACGACGACCTCATAGCGATGGATCACCACTTAATACCACTAACTACCATACCACAACTACACAAGAACGCAAGCGTTAACAATTGACGCCCATTGACGCAGCGCGTAGTAGATTTCTGATTCTTCAGTGCAGACTATGACCCGCTCTGACCAATCGCGAAGATCGACAACGGGAGTTATCCGAGCAGTTTCGAGGTGTCCTGGGCTCGTTTATCATAAAGGCTGCTAGGGCTATCCGATCCCAGCAGCTATCATCAGTCCATCTTGATATTGCCGATCGATGTTCAGAAAGGTTGGTAACGGTTGACAAAGGTTATCGAAGTGGACATCACAGCATCGCACTCCACCAGTTCTTATCCCCAAACGAGTGCACTTGCCTCTCTGGGAAGTAGGGTGCACGTGCAAGTCCAGCTCCCCCGTTTGCCAGATCCGCCACCAGTCTTGTGGACCAGCTATCCTCGATAAACGCAGGCTGTCAACACTGGCGATTCTGAACTCAGATGTGGATGAACCACCAACTCACTGTAACAAGAACAATTTAGTCGTCTTGTTACATGAACCAATGCAACCCTCAATTGTCCACACAATTTTCTTTGAAAGGTTCACTGGTTTCTTTGCAAGCTAACAAGAGCCCATCCATCCTCCTCCTCAACAGAGATTACTTCTGCATAAGGAGCGTATGCTGTAATAACTTGCTCCACCTGCAGTATAAAGACAACAAAAGGTGAGGAGGAAAGAAATATGAAGTTAATATAAAATAAATTAAAAAGTACCGTAAATGGTAACTCACAAGACCAATGCAACAGACCAGACCGTACCTGATTGGTCAATATTCCTGACAGCCCAAGCCTCCCACCAGGCTTGGTTCTGGAAGAAATCCGCCCAGCCAATAGGAGAAGAGGGTTCACGAGAATGTTGGCAGCCACAACGTCAAACAGCACGCGTGTGTCCGACGAATCAGAGACTGCCAGCTCAGCAGGAAGAGTCGGCAACACCAAGCCAGCACCAACACCGACCCTAGATTCCATAGCAGCAGTCCCTCCGGCTTCATTAACATCAAACTCATCAAGCAGATCTGGGCCGTCCGGGTGTGTGAGAAGGACGGTGAATTGCGAAGGAGGGATGCTATTGAGGGATGCGTTGTGCGCTGCTGCTGCCACTGACAGTTCATCGATATCCACCCCCACCGCTGCTGCTGCTCCCATCTTGATCCCTGCGATCGCCAGCACGCCGGAGCCCGTGCCGTAGTCCAATAGCGTGCTGCCAGGTGTCACGACCGCGCGCAGCCAGCGCAGGCAGAGCCGGGTGGTGGGGTGGTCGCCAGTGCCGAATGCGAGACCGGGCTCGAGAGTTATGGCTAGAAAGGGGTGGTCTTGTGACTGGTCTTGTGAGACCTGGAAAGGTGGGGAGGCAGAACAGAGAGGTGACTTTGCAGCCGGTAAATGCAGAGACGTGTGGTGGGGTGATCGCCGCCGAATGCGAGACCGGGCTCTAGTGTGATTGCTAGAGAGGGCTGGTCTTGGGACTGGTCTTGTGATACCTGAGAAGGGGTGGGAAGGCGGAAGGGGGAATTCACAGCGCAGGCAGCGGCGCGAGGTGGGGTGGTTACCGGTTTACGAAGGCGAGATCCGGCTCGAGAGTGATGGTCTGGCTTGAGAGGGATGCGTGTATACCAGCTATATCAATTAGAGATGAGATGAGACTGCTCTTGAGACTGGCTTAGAGGGAGGTGAAACGCTAGGGGTTCTTCTGTGAGGGTCTTGAGAGGGCTGAAAACAGGGAGAAGGAAAACAGGAGTGGAGCTTTGCACTGCAGTCCGTGCAGGGACCAGGCTTCAAAGAACCAGAGACTTACATTTTCATAAACCCTAAACCCTAAACCAGGCTTCAAAGAACCAGAGACTTACATTTTCATAACAGTTTGCACCATTCCAAGGCCTGTGGCCATACCTCATCCGGCAGTGTGGCCCAGGAAGGGACGATCCAAAGGCCTTGGTCCACACGGATGGGATGGAAGGAGTCCTGCACGCAGAGAGGCAGGGTGGAAAGGCAGCGCATTGCTTTTGGCATAACGGAAAGCGATTAAAACGAAATGTTGAGTCCTTGGTCCACGGACCACCCCTCCTCCACCGCCAGCACCACTACTCTTGTACCATAGACTAACTCTAGAGCACTTTTGGGATGAGTTTGGCATAGATTCAAGACTCGCCTGTACTTGTTGCACCCAGTCTCGCTCCACCACCTCCTCTATCCCCAGCAAAACTGTCATAGTACACTGGCCCATCATCTTTTCTGAGTGAAGTGCCGACTCAGAAGACTCACCTGTACTTGCTGCACCCAGTCTCGCTCCGCCACCTCCTCTATCCCCAGCAACAGAACTCCCACACCCTCCTCCCTCTCCTCCCCATCCTCCCCTCCTCCACCTTCCTCTCCCTCTTCCTCCTCCTCCCCCCACCCCCCCATGGCCCACTGCACTGAGTCTGCCGCCCGGTGAACAGTGCTGCGGATGTTCTCCTCGCTCTGATTGGCTGGGAAGAGCGCCCGTAGCCGAGTCTGGAGCAGGGGAATCGGGAGAAGAAGACGTATCTGGTTATGAAAAGCATTTGAATAAAAAATTCACACCCAAATTTGAGTTGTCGAAGAGGAATAGGAGGATAATGAGAGGAAGCGGGTTGGGGAGAGGGAGGGAGGGCGACATTGCAGACTCACGACAGGAAAATGAATGCCACGGAAAGACTGGGGAGAGAGGTGGGAGGGACAGCTGAAACCGGAGGGAGTGAGAGAAAAAACGGTGCACAGTGATTACTCGCAGTAAACGACACTTTTTTTTTTCTTTTTTTTTTTTAGCCTATAATAGGTTAAATGGAACCTTTGAGACGTGTAATGACGGCGCACCTGATTCCAGAGGTTGCGGGGGCCACTGGGATCCCAGGGAATGGGCCCGGATGAGTATATCTGTGATTTTGCAGAGAAAGAATGGCGAAATCAGAGGGGGGAAGGAGCTGAATGTGGGGAGGGAATACGCATGTTCATGTGTTGATACGTATGTACATGATGGGATACGCATGTTCATGATGGGATACGCATGTTCATGATGGGATACGTATGTACATGATGGGATACGTATGTACATGATGGGATACGTATGTACATGATGGGATACGTATGTACATGATGGGATACGTATGTACATGATGGGATCCGTATGTACATGATGGGATCCGTATGTACATGATGGGATCCGTATGTACATGATGGGATCCGTATGTACATGATGGGATACGTATGTACATGATGGGATACGTATGTACATGATGGGATCCGTATGTACATGATGGGATACGTATGTACATGATGGGAAACGTATGTACATGATGGGATACGTATGTACATGATGGGATACGTATGCACATGATGGGATACGTATGTTCATGTGTTAATGTGCATGAGTTCTTGCATGTGAGGAATGAGGAGTGTGAGAGCATGCATGTATGCATGTATGCATGTATGCATGTGCATGCGAGTAGTGCAAAGGTGGTAGAGATGAGCGATGAGTGAGGAGGAGTGCAAAGTTGGTAAGAGGGAGAGTGAGGAGTGCGAAGGTGGCAAGAGGGAGAGTGAGGAGTGCGAAGGTGACAAGAGGGAGAGTGAGGAGTGCGAAGGTGACAAGAGGGAGAGTGAGGAGTGCGAAGGTGGTAAGAGGGAGAGTGAGGAGTGCGAAGGTGGTAGAGGGAGAGTGAGGAGTGCGAAGGTGGTAAGAGGGAGAGTGAGGAGTGCGAAGGTGGTAAGAGGGAGAGTGAGGAGTGCGAAGGTGGTAAGAGGGAGAGTGAGGAGTGCGAAGGTGGTAAGAGGGAGAGTGAGGAGTGCGAAGGTGGTAAGAGGGAGAGTGAGGAGTGCGAAGGTGGTAAGAGGGAGAGTGAGGAGTGCGAAGGTGGTAAGAGGGAGAGTGAGGAGTGCGAAGGTGGTAAGAGGGAGAGTGAGGAGTGCGAAGGTGGTAAGAGGGAGAGTGAGGAGTGCGAAGGTGACAAGAGGGAGAGTGAGGAGTGCGAAGGTGACAAGAGGGAGAGTGAGGAGTGCGAAGGTGGTAAGAGGGAGAGTGAGGAGTGCGAAGGTGGTAAGAGGGAGAGTGAGGAGTGCGAAGGTGGTAAGAGGGAGAGTGAGGAGTGCGAAGGTGGTAAGAGGGAGAGTGAGGAGTGCGAAGGTGGTAAGAGGGAGAGTGAGGAGTGCGAAGGTGGTAAGAGGGAGAGTGAGGAGTGCGAAGGTGGTAAGAGGGAGAGTGAGGAGTGCGAAGGTGGTAAGAGGGAGAGTGAGGAGTGCGAAGGTGGTAAGAGGGAGAGTGAGGAGTGCGAAGGAGGTAAGAGGGAGAGTGAGGAGTGCGAAGGTGGTAAGAGGGAGAGTGAGGAGTGCGAAGGTGACAAGAGGGAGAGTGAGGAGTGCGAAGGAGACAAGAGGGAGAGTGAGGAGTGCGAAGGTGACAAGAGGGAGAGTGAGGAGTGCGAAGGTGACAAGAGGGAGAGTGAGGAGTGCGAAGGTGACAAGAGGGAGAGTGAGGAGTGCGAAGGTGGTAAGAGGGAGAGTGAGGAGTGCGAAGGTGGTAGAGGGAGAGTGAGGAGTGCGAAGGTGGTAAGAGGGAGAGTGAGGAGTGCGAAGGTGGTAAGAGGGAGAGTGAGGAGTGCGAAGGTGGTAAGAGGGAGAGTGAGGAGTGCGAAGGTGACAAGAGGGAGAGTGAGGAGTGCGAAGGTGGTAAGAGGGAGAGTGAGGAGTGCGAAGGTGGTAAGAGGGAGAGTGAGGAGTGCGAAGGTGGTAAGAGGGAGAGTGAGGAGTGCGAAGGTGGTAAGAGGGAGAGTGAGGAGTGCGAAGGAGGTAAGAGGGAGAGTGAGGAGTGCGAAGGTGACAAGAGGGAGAGTGAGGAGTGCGAAGGTGACAAGAGGGAGAGTGAGGAGTGCGAAGGAGACAAGAGGGAGAGTGAGGAGTGCGAAGGTGACAAGAGGGAGAGTGAGGAGTGCGAAGGTGACAAGAGGGAGAGTGAGGAGTGCGAAGGTGACAAGAGGGAGAGTGAGGAGTGCGAAGGTGGTAAGAGGGAGAGTGAGGAGTGCGAAGGTGGTAAGAGGGAGAGTGAGGAGTGCGAAGGTGGTAAGAGGGAGAGTGAGGAGTGCGAAGGTGGTAAGAGGGAGAGTGAGGAGTGCGAAGGTGACAAGAGGGAGAGTGAGGAGTGCGAAGGTGGTAAGAGGGAGAGTGAGGAGTGCGAAGGTGGTAAGAGGGAGAGTGAGGAGTGCGAAGGTGGTAAGAGGGAGAGTGAGGAGTGCGAAGGTGGTAAGAGGGAGAGTGAGGAGTGCGAAGGTGGTAAGAGGGAGAGTGAGGAGTGCGAAGGTGGTAAGAGGGAGAGTGAGGAGTGCGAAGGTGGTAAGAGGGAGAGTGAGGAGTGCGAAGGTGACAAGAGGGAGAGTGAGGAGTGCGAAGGTGGTAAGAGGGAGAGTGAGGAGTGCGAAGGTGGTAAGAGGGAGAGTGAGGAGTGCGAAGGTGACAAGAGGGAGAGTGAGGAGTGCGAAGGTGGTAAGAGGGAGAGTGAGGAGTGCGAAGGTGGTAAGAGGGAGAGTGAGGAGTGCGAAGGAGGTAAGAGGGAGAGTGAGGAGTGCGAAGGTGACAAGAGGGAGAGTGAGGAGTGCGAAGGTGACAAGAGGGAGAGTGAGGAGTGCGAAGGAGACAAGAGGGAGAGTGAGGAGTGCGAAGGTGACAAGAGGGAGAGTGAGGAGTGCGAAGGTGACAAGAGGGAGAGTGAGGAGTGCGAAGGTGACAAGAGGGAGAGTGAGGAGTGCGAAGGTGGTAAGAGGGAGAGTGAGGAGTGCGAAGGTGGTAAGAGGGAGAGTGAGGAGTGCGAAGGTGGTAAGAGGGAGAGTGAGGAGTGCGAAGGTGGTAAGAGGGAGAGTGAGGAGTGCGAAGGTGACAAGAGGGAGAGTGAGGAGTGCGAAGGTGGTAAGAGGGAGAGTGAGGAGTGCGAAGGTGGTAAGAGGGAGAGTGAGGAGTGCGAAGGTGGTAAGAGGGAGAGTGAGGAGTGCGAAGGTGGTAAGAGGGAGAGTGAGGAGTGCGAAGGTGGTAAGAGGGAGAGTGAGGAGTGCGAAGGTGGTAAGAGGGAGAGTGAGGAGTGCGAAGGTGGTAAGAGGGAGAGTGAGGAGTGCGAAGGTGACAAGAGGGAGAGTGAGGAGTGCGAAGGTGGTAAGAGGGAGAGTGAGGAGTGCGAAGGAGGTAAGAGGGAGAGTGAGGAGTGCGAAGGTGACAAGAGGGAGAGTGAGGAGTGCGAAGGTGACAAGAGGGAGAGTGAGGAGTGCGAAGGTGACAAGAGGGAGAGTGAGGAGTGCGAAGGTGGTAAGAGGGAGAGTGAGGAGTGCGAAGGTGGTAAGAGGGAGAGTGAGGAGTGCGAAGGTGGTAAGAGGGAGAGTGAGGAGTGCGAAGGTGGTAAGAGGGAGAGTGAGGAGTGCGAAGGTGACAAGAGGGAGAGTGAGGAGTGCGAAGGTGGTAAGAGGGAGAGTGAGGAGTGCGAAGGTGGTAAGAGGGAGAGTGAGGAGTGCGAAGGTGGTAAGAGGGAGAGTGAGGAGTGCGAAGGTGGTAAGAGGGAGAGTGAGGAGTGCGAAGGTGGTAAGAGGGAGAGTGAGGAGTGCGAAGGTGGTAAGAGGGAGAGTGAGGAGTGCGAAGGTGGTAAGAGGGAGAGTGAGGAGTGCGAAGGTGGTAAGAGGGAGAGTGAGGAGTGCGAAGGTGGTAAGAGGGAGAGTGAGGAGTGCGAAGGTGGTAAGAGGGAGAGTGAGGAGTGCGAAGGAGGTAAGAGGGAGAGTGAGGAGTGCGAAGGAGACAAGAGGGAGAGTGAGGAGTGCGAAGGTGACAAGAGGGAGAGTGAGGAGTGCGAAGGTGACAAGAGGGAGAGTGAGGAGTGCGAAGGTGACAAGAGGGAGAGTGAGGAGTGCGAAGGTGGTAAGAGGGAGAGTGAGGAGTGCGAAGGTGGTAAGAGGGAGAGTGAGGAGTGCGAAGGTGGTAAGAGGGAGAGTGAGGAGTGCGAAGGTGGTAAGAGGGAGAGTGAGGAGTGCGAAGGTGACAAGAGGGAGAGTGAGGAGTGCGAAGGTGGTAAGAGGGAGAGTGAGGAGTGCGAAGGTGGTAAGAGGGAGAGTGAGGAGTGCGAAGGTGGTAAGAGGGAGAGTGAGGAGTGCGAAGGTGGTAAGAGGGAGAGTGAGGAGTGCGAAGGTGGTAAGAGGGAGAGTGAGGAGTGCGAAGGTGGTAAGAGGGAGAGTGAGGAGTGCGAAGGTGGTAAGAGGGAGAGTGAGGAGTGCGAAGGAGGTAAGAGGGAGAGTGAGGAGTGCGAAGGTGACAAGAGCGAGAGTGAGGAGTGCGAAGGTGACAAGAGCGAGAGTGAGGAGTGCGAAGGAGACAAGAGGGAGAGTGAGGAGTGCGAAGGTGACAAGAGGGAGAGTGAGGAGTGCGAAGGTGACAAGAGGGAGAGTGAGGAGTGCGAAGGTGACAAGAGGGAGAGTGAGGAGTGCGAAGGTGGTAAGAGGGAGAGTGAGGAGTGCGAAGGTGGTAGAGGGAGAGTGAGGAGTGCGAAGGTGGTAAGAGGGAGAGTGAGGAGTGCGAAGGTGGTAAGAGGGAGAGTGAGGAGTGCGAAGGTGGTAAGAGGGAGAGTGAGGAGTGCGAAGGTGGTAAGAGGGAGAGTGAGGAGTGCGAAGGTGGTAAGAGGGAGAGTGAGGAGTGCGAAGGTGACAAGAGGGAGAGTGAGGAGTGCGAAGGTGACAAGAGGGAGAGTGAGGAGTGCGAAGGTGGTAAGAGGGAGAGTGAGGAGTGCGAAGGTGGTAAGAGGGAGAGTGAGGAGTGCGAAGGTGGTAAGAGGGAGAGTGAGGAGTGCGAAGGTGGTAAGAGGGAGAGTGAGGAGTGCGAAGGTGGTAAGAGGGAGAGTGAGGAGTGCGAAGGTGGTAAGAGGGAGAGTGAGGAGTGCGAAGGTGGTAAGAGGGAGAGTGAGGAGTGCGAAGGAGGTAAGAGGGAGAGTGAGGAGTGCGAAGGAGACAAGAGGGAGAGTGAGGAGTGCGAAGGTGACAAGAGGGAGAGTGAGGAGTGCGAAGGTGGTAAGAGGGAGAGTGAGGAGTGCGAAGGTGGTAAGAGGGAGAGTGAGGAGTGCGAAGGTGGTAAGAGGGAGAGTGAGGAGTGCGAAGGTGGTAAGAGGGAGAGTGAGGAGTGCGAAGGTGGTAAGAGGGAGAGTGAGGAGTGCGAAGGTGACAAGAGGGAGAGTGAGGAGTGCGAAGGTGGTAAGAGGGAGAGTGAGGAGTGCGAAGGTGGTAAGAGGGAGAGTGAGGAGTGCGAAGGTGGTAAGAGGGAGAGTGAGGAGTGCGAAGGTGGTAAGAGGGAGAGTGAGGAGTGCGAAGGTGGTAAGAGGGAGAGTGAGGAGTGCGAAGGTGGTAAGAGGGAGAGTGAGGAGTGCGAAGGAGGTAAGAGGGAGAGTGAGGAGTGCGAAGGTGACAAGAGGGAGAGTGAGGAGTGCGAAGGTGACAAGAGGGAGAGTGAGGAGTGCGAAGGAGACAAGAGGGAGAGTGAGGAGTGCGAAGGTGACAAGAGGGAGAGTGAGGAGTGCGAAGGTGACAAGAGGGAGAGTGAGGAGTGCGAAGGTGACAAGAGGGAGAGTGAGGAGTGCGAAGGTGGTAAGAGGGAGAGTGAGGAGTGCGAAGGTGGTAAGAGGGAGAGTGAGGAGTGCGAAGGTGGTAAGAGGGAGAGTGAGGAGTGCGAAGGTGGTAAGAGGGAGAGTGAGGAGTGCGAAGGTGACAAGAGGGAGAGTGAGGAGTGCGAAGGAGACAAGAGGGAGAGTGAGGAGTGCGAAGGTGACAAGAGGGAGAGTGAGGAGTGCGAAGGTGACAAGAGGGAGAGTGAGGAGTGCGAAGGTGACAAGAGGGAGAGTGAGGAGTGCGAAGGTGGTAAGAGGGAGAGTGAGGAGTGCGAAGGTGGTAGAGGGAGAGTGAGGAGTGCGAAGGTGGTAAGAGGGAGAGTGAGGAGTGCGAAGGTGGTAAGAGGGAGAGTGAGGAGTGCGAAGGTGGTAAGAGGGAGAGTGAGGAGTGCGAAGGTGGTAAGAGGGAGAGTGAGGAGTGCGAAGGTGGTAAGAGGGAGAGTGAGGAGTGCGAAGGTGGTAAGAGGGAGAGTGAGGAGTGCGAAGGTGGTAAGAGGGAGAGTGAGGAGTGCGAAGGTGGTAAGAGGGAGAGTGAGGAGTGCGAAGGAGGTAAGAGGGAGAGTGAGGAGTGCGAAGGTGACAAGAGGGAGAGTGAGGAGTGCGAAGGTGACAAGAGGGAGAGTGAGGAGTGCGAAGGAGACAAGAGGGAGAGTGAGGAGTGCGAAGGTGACAAGAGGGAGAGTGAGGAGTGCGAAGGTGACAAGAGGGAGAGTGAGGAGTGCGAAGGTGACAAGAGGGAGAGTGAGGAGTGCGAAGGTGGTAAGAGGGAGAGTGAGGAGTGCGAAGGTGGTAAGAGGGAGAGTGAGGAGTGCGAAGGTGGTAAGAGGGAGAGTGAGGAGTGCGAAGGTGGTAAGAGGGAGAGTGAGGAGTGCGAAGGTGACAAGAGGGAGAGTGAGGAGTGCGAAGGTGGTAAGAGGGAGAGTGAGGAGTGCGAAGGTGGTAAGAGGGAGAGTGAGGAGTGCGAAGGTGGTAAGAGGGAGAGTGAGGAGTGCGAAGGTGGTAAGAGGGAGAGTGAGGAGTGCGAAGGTGGTAAGAGGGAGAGTGAGGAGTGCGAAGGTGGTAAGAGGGAGAGTGAGGAGTGCGAAGGTGGTAAGAGGGAGAGTGAGGAGTGCGAAGGTGACAAGAGGGAGAGTGAGGAGTGCGAAGGTGACAAGAGGGAGAGTGAGGAGTGCGAAGGTGACAAGAGGGAGAGTGAGGAGTGCGAAGGTGACAAGAGGGAGAGTGAGGAGTGCGAAGGTGACAAGAGGGAGAGTGAGGAGTGCGAAGGTGACAAGAGGGAGAGTGAGGAGTGCGAAGGTGGTAAGAGGGAGAGTGAGGAGTGCGAAGGTGGTAAGAGGGAGAGTGAGGAGTGCGAAGGTGGTAAGAGGGAGAGTGAGGAGTGCGAAGGTGGTAAGAGGGAGAGTGAGGAGTGCGAAGGTGACAAGAGGGAGAGTGAGGAGTGCGAAGGTGGTAAGAGGGAGAGTGAGGAGTGCGAAGGTGGTAAGAGGGAGAGTGAGGAGTGCGAAGGTGGTAAGAGGGAGAGTGAGGAGTGCGAAGGTGGTAAGAGGGAGAGTGAGGAGTGCGAAGGTGGTAAGAGGGAGAGTGAGGAGTGCGAAGGTGGTAAGAGGGAGAGTGAGGAGTGCGAAGGTGGTAAGAGGGAGAGTGAGGAGTGCGAAGGTGGTAAGAGGGAGAGTGAGGAGTGCGAAGGTGGTAAGAGGGAGAGTGAGGAGTGCGAAGGTGGTAAGAGGGAGAGTGAGGAGTGCGAAGGAGGTAAGAGGGAGAGTGAGGAGTGCGAAGGAGACAAGAGGGAGAGTGAGGAGTGCGAAGGTGACAAGAGGGAGAGTGAGGAGTGCGAAGGTGACAAGAGGGAGAGTGAGGAGTGCGAAGGTGACAAGAGGGAGAGTGAGGAGTGCGAAGGTGGTAAGAGGGAGAGTGAGGAGTGCGAAGGTGGTAAGAGGGAGAGTGAGGAGTGCGAAGGTGGTAAGAGGGAGAGTGAGGAGTGCGAAGGTGGTAAGAGGGAGAGTGAGGAGTGCGAAGGTGACAAGAGGGAGAGTGAGGAGTGCGAAGGTGGTAAGAGGGAGAGTGAGGAGTGCGAAGGTGGTAAGAGGGAGAGTGAGGAGTGCGAAGGTGGTAAGAGGGAGAGTGAGGAGTGCGAAGGTGGTAAGAGGGAGAGTGAGGAGTGCGAAGGTGACAAGAGGGAGAGTGAGGAGTGCGAAGGTGGTAAGAGGGAGAGTGAGGAGTGCGAAGGAGGTAAGAGGGAGAGTGAGGAGTGCGAAGGTGACAAGAGGGAGAGTGAGGAGTGCGAAGGTGACAAGAGGGAGAGTGAGGAGTGCGAAGGTGGTAAGAGGGAGAGTGAGGAGTGCGAAGGTGGTAAGAGGGAGAGTGAGGAGTGCGAAGGTGGTAAGAGGGAGAGTGAGGAGTGCGAAGGTGGTAAGAGGGAGAGTGAGGAGTGCGAAGGTGGTAAGAGGGAGAGTGAGGAGTGCGAAGGAGGTAAGAGGGAGAGTGAGGAGTGCGAAGGTGACAAGAGGGAGAGTGAGGAGTGCGAAGGTGACAAGAGGGAGAGTGAGGAGTGCGAAGGAGACAAGAGGGAGAGTGAGGAGTGCGAAGGTGACAAGAGGGAGAGTGAGGAGTGCGAAGGTGACAAGAGGGAGAGTGAGGAGTGCGAAGGTGACAAGAGGGAGAGTGAGGAGTGCGAAGGTGGTAAGAGGGAGAGTGAGGAGTGCGAAGGTGGTAAGAGGGAGAGTGAGGAGTGCGAAGGTGGTAAGAGGGAGAGTGAGGAGTGCGAAGGTGGTAAGAGGGAGAGTGAGGAGTGCGAAGGTGACAAGAGGGAGAGTGAGGAGTGCGAAGGAGACAAGAGGGAGAGTGAGGAGTGCGAAGGTGACAAGAGGGAGAGTGAGGAGTGCGAAGGTGACAAGAGGGAGAGTGAGGAGTGCGAAGGTGACAAGAGGGAGAGTGAGGAGTGCGAAGGTGGTAAGAGGGAGAGTGAGGAGTGCGAAGGTGGTAGAGGGAGAGTGAGGAGTGCGAAGGTGGTAAGAGGGAGAGTGAGGAGTGCGAAGGTGGTAAGAGGGAGAGTGAGGAGTGCGAAGGTGGTAAGAGGGAGAGTGAGGAGTGCGAAGGTGGTAAGAGGGAGAGTGAGGAGTGCGAAGGTGGTAAGAGGGAGAGTGAGGAGTGCGAAGGTGGTAAGAGGGAGAGTGAGGAGTGCGAAGGTGGTAAGAGGGAGAGTGAGGAGTGCGAAGGTGGTAAGAGGGAGAGTGAGGAGTGCGAAGGAGGTAAGAGGGAGAGTGAGGAGTGCGAAGGTGACAAGAGGGAGAGTGAGGAGTGCGAAGGTGACAAGAGGGAGAGTGAGGAGTGCGAAGGAGACAAGAGGGAGAGTGAGGAGTGCGAAGGTGACAAGAGGGAGAGTGAGGAGTGCGAAGGTGACAAGAGGGAGAGTGAGGAGTGCGAAGGTGACAAGAGGGAGAGTGAGGAGTGCGAAGGTGGTAAGAGGGAGAGTGAGGAGTGCGAAGGTGGTAAGAGGGAGAGTGAGGAGTGCGAAGGTGGTAAGAGGGAGAGTGAGGAGTGCGAAGGTGGTAAGAGGGAGAGTGAGGAGTGCGAAGGTGACAAGAGGGAGAGTGAGGAGTGCGAAGGTGGTAAGAGGGAGAGTGAGGAGTGCGAAGGTGGTAAGAGGGAGAGTGAGGAGTGCGAAGGTGGTAAGAGGGAGAGTGAGGAGTGCGAAGGTGGTAAGAGGGAGAGTGAGGAGTGCGAAGGTGGTAAGAGGGAGAGTGAGGAGTGCGAAGGTGGTAAGAGGGAGAGTGAGGAGTGCGAAGGTGGTAAGAGGGAGAGTGAGGAGTGCGAAGGTGACAAGAGGGAGAGTGAGGAGTGCGAAGGTGACAAGAGGGAGAGTGAGGAGTGCGAAGGTGACAAGAGGGAGAGTGAGGAGTGCGAAGGTGACAAGAGGGAGAGTGAGGAGTGCGAAGGTGACAAGAGGGAGAGTGAGGAGTGCGAAGGTGACAAGAGGGAGAGTGAGGAGTGCGAAGGTGGTAAGAGGGAGAGTGAGGAGTGCGAAGGTGGTAAGAGGGAGAGTGAGGAGTGCGAAGGTGGTAAGAGGGAGAGTGAGGAGTGCGAAGGTGGTAAGAGGGAGAGTGAGGAGTGCGAAGGTGACAAGAGGGAGAGTGAGGAGTGCGAAGGTGGTAAGAGGGAGAGTGAGGAGTGCGAAGGTGGTAAGAGGGAGAGTGAGGAGTGCGAAGGTGGTAAGAGGGAGAGTGAGGAGTGCGAAGGTGGTAAGAGGGAGAGTGAGGAGTGCGAAGGTGGTAAGAGGGAGAGTGAGGAGTGCGAAGGTGGTAAGAGGGAGAGTGAGGAGTGCGAAGGTGGTAAGAGGGAGAGTGAGGAGTGCGAAGGTGGTAAGAGGGAGAGTGAGGAGTGCGAAGGTGGTAAGAGGGAGAGTGAGGAGTGCGAAGGTGGTAAGAGGGAGAGTGAGGAGTGCGAAGGAGGTAAGAGGGAGAGTGAGGAGTGCGAAGGAGACAAGAGGGAGAGTGAGGAGTGCGAAGGTGACAAGAGGGAGAGTGAGGAGTGCGAAGGTGACAAGAGGGAGAGTGAGGAGTGCGAAGGTGACAAGAGGGAGAGTGAGGAGTGCGAAGGTGGTAAGAGGGAGAGTGAGGAGTGCGAAGGTGGTAAGAGGGAGAGTGAGGAGTGCGAAGGTGGTAAGAGGGAGAGTGAGGAGTGCGAAGGTGGTAAGAGGGAGAGTGAGGAGTGCGAAGGTGACAAGAGGGAGAGTGAGGAGTGCGAAGGTGGTAAGAGGGAGAGTGAGGAGTGCGAAGGTGGTAAGAGGGAGAGTGAGGAGTGCGAAGGTGGTAAGAGGGAGAGTGAGGAGTGCGAAGGTGGTAAGAGGGAGAGTGAGGAGTGCGAAGGTGGTAAGAGGGAGAGTGAGGAGTGCGAAGGTGGTAAGAGGGAGAGTGAGGAGTGCGAAGGTGACAAGAGGGAGAGTGAGGAGTGCGAAGGTGACAAGAGGGAGAGTGAGGAGTGCGAAGGTGACAAGAGGGAGAGTGAGGAGTGCGAAGGTGACAAGAGGGAGAGTGAGGAGTGCGAAGGTGACAAGAGGGAGAGTGAGGAGTGCGAAGGTGACAAGAGGGAGAGTGAGGAGTGCGAAGGTGGTAAGAGGGAGAGTGAGGAGTGCGAAGGTGGTAAGAGGGAGAGTGAGGAGTGCGAAGGTGGTAAGAGGGAGAGTGAGGAGTGCGAAGGTGGTAAGAGGGAGAGTGAGGAGTGCGAAGGTGACAAGAGGGAGAGTGAGGAGTGCGAAGGTGGTAAGAGGGAGAGTGAGGAGTGCGAAGGTGGTAAGAGGGAGAGTGAGGAGTGCGAAGGTGGTAAGAGGGAGAGTGAGGAGTGCGAAGGTGGTAAGAGGGAGAGTGAGGAGTGCGAAGGTGGTAAGAGGGAGAGTGAGGAGTGCGAAGGTGGTAAGAGGGAGAGTGAGGAGTGCGAAGGTGGTAAGAGGGAGAGTGAGGAGTGCGAAGGTGGTAAGAGGGAGAGTGAGGAGTGCGAAGGTGACAAGAGGGAGAGTGAGGAGTGCGAAGGTGGTAAGAGGGAGAGTGAGGAGTGCGAAGGAGGTAAGAGGGAGAGTGAGGAGTGCGAAGGTGACAAGAGGGAGAGTGAGGAGTGCGAAGGTGACAAGAGGGAGAGTGAGGAGTGCGAAGGTGACAAGAGGGAGAGTGAGGAGTGCGAAGGTGGTAAGAGGGAGAGTGAGGAGTGCGAAGGTGGTAAGAGGGAGAGTGAGGAGTGCGAAGGTGGTAAGAGGGAGAGTGAGGAGTGCGAAGGTGGTAAGAGGGAGAGTGAGGAGTGCGAAGGTGACAAGAGGGAGAGTGAGGAGTGCGAAGGTGGTAAGAGGGAGAGTGAGGAGTGCGAAGGTGGTAAGAGGGAGAGTGAGGAGTGCGAAGGTGGTAAGAGGGAGAGTGAGGAGTGCGAAGGTGGTAAGAGGGAGAGTGAGGAGTGCGAAGGTGGTAAGAGGGAGAGTGAGGAGTGCGAAGGTGGTAAGAGGGAGAGTGAGGAGTGCGAAGGTGACAAGAGGGAGAGTGAGGAGTGCGAAGGTGGTAAGAGGGAGAGTGCGGAGTGCGAAGGTGGTAAGAGGGAGAGTGAGGAGTGCGAAGGTGGTAAGAGGGAGAGTGAGGAGCGCGAAGGTGGTAAGAGGGAGAGTGAGGAGTGCGAAGGTGGTAAGAGGGAGAGTGAGGAGTGCGAAGGTGGTAAGAGGGAGAGTGAGGAGTGCGAAGGTGGTAAGAGGGAGAGTGAGGAGTGCGAAGGTGGTAAGAGGGAGAGTGAGGAGTGCGAAGGTGGTAAGAGGGAGAGTGAGGAGTGCGAAGGAGGTAAGAGGGAGAGTGAGGAGTGCGAAGGTGGTAAGAGGGAGAGTGAGGAGTGCGAAGGTGACAAGAGGGAGAGTGAGGAGTGCGAAGGAGACAAGAGGGAGAGTGAGGAGTGCGAAGGTGACAAGAGGGAGAGTGAGGAGTGCGAAGGTGACAAGAGGGAGAGTGAGGAGTGCGAAGGTGACAAGAGGGAGAGTGAGGAGTGCGAAGGTGGTAAGAGGGAGAGTGAGGAGTGCGAAGGTGGTAAGAGGGAGAGTGAGGAGTGCGAAGGTGGTAAGAGGGAGAGTGAGGAGTGCGAAGGTGGTAAGAGGGAGAGTGAGGAGTGCGAAGGTGACAAGAGGGAGCGTGAGGAGTGCGAAGGTGGTAAGAGGGAGAGTGAGGAGTGCGAAGGTGGTAAGAGGGAGAGTGAGGAGTGCGAAGGTGGTAAGAGGGAGAGTGAGGAGTGCGAAGGTGGTAAGAGGGAGAGTGAGGAGTGCGAAGGTGGTAAGAGGGAGAGTGAGGAGTGCGAAGGTGGTAAGAGGGAGAGTGAGGAGTGCGAAGGTGGTAAGAGGGAGAGTGAGGAGTGCGAAGGTGGTAAGAGGGAGAGTGAGGAGTGCGAAGGTGGTAAGAGGGAGAGTGAGGAGTGCGAAGGTGGTAAGAGGGAGAGTGAGGAGTGCGAAGGAGGTAAGAGGGAGAGTGAGGAGTGCGAAGGTGACAAGAGGGAGAGTGAGGAGTGCGAAGGTGACAAGAGGGAGAGTGAGGAGTGCGAAGGTGACAAGAGGGAGAGTGAGGAGTGCGAAGGTGACAAGAGGGAGAGTGAGGGGTGCGAAGGTGACAAGAGGGAGAGTGAGGAGTGCGAAGGTGACAAGAGGGAGAGTGAGGAGTGCGAAGGTGACAAGAGGGAGAGTGAGGAGTGCGAAGGTGACAAGAGGGAGAGTGAGGAGTGCGAAGGTGACAAGAGGGAGAGTGAGGAGTGCGAAGGTGACAAGAGGGAGAGTGAGGAGTGCGAAGGTGACAAGAGGGAGAGTGAGGAGTGCGAAGGTGACAAGAGGGAGAGTGAGGAGTGCGAAGGTGACAAGAGGGAGAGTGAGGAGTGCGAAGGTGACAAGAGGGAGAGTGAGGAGTGCGAAGGTGACAAGAGGGAGAGTGAGGAGTGCGAAGGTGACAAGAGGGAGAGTGAGGAGTGCGAAGGTGACAAGAGGGAGAGTGAGGAGTGCGAAGGTGACAAGAGGGAGAGTGAGGAGTGCGAAGGTGACAAGAGGGAGAGTGAGGAGTGCGAAGGTGACAAGAGGGAGAGTGAGGAGTGCGAAGGTGAAAAGAGGGAGAGTGAGGAGTGCGAAGGTGACAAGAGGGAGAGTGAGGAGTGCGAAGGTGACAAGAGGGAGAGTGAGGAGTGCGAAGGTGGTAAGAGGGAGAGTGAGGAGTGCGAAGGTGGTAAGAGGGAGAGTGAGGAGTGCGAAGGAGGTAAGAGGGAGAGTGAGGAGTGCGAAGGTGACAAGAGGGAGAGTGAGGAGTGTGAAGGTGACAAGAGGGAGAGTGAGGAGTGCGAAGGTGACAAGAGGGAGAGTGAGGAGTGCGAAGGTGACAAGAGGGAGAGTGAGGAGTGCGAAGGTGACAAGAGGGAGAGTGAGGAGTGCGAAGGTGACAAGAGGGAGAGTGAGGAGTGCGAAGGTGACAAGAGGGAGAGTGAGGAGTGCGAAGGTGACAAGAGGGAGAGTGAGGAGTGCGAAGGTGACAAGAGGGAGAGTGAGGAGTGCGAAGGTGACAAGAGGGAGAGTGAGGAGTGCGAAGGTGACAAGAGGGAGAGTGAGGAGTGCGAAGGTGACAAGAGGGAGAGTGAGGAGTGCGAAGGTGACAAGAGGGAGAGTGAGGAGTGCGAAGGTGACAAGAGGGAGAGTGAGGAGTGCGAAGGTGACAAGAGGGAGAGTGAGGAGTGCGAAGGTGACAAGAGGGAGAGTGAGGAGTGCGAAGGTGACAAGAGGGAGAGTGAGGAGTGCGAAGGTGAACCCCCTACCTCTTTCCCACCCCCCTACCTCATGCTCACCCCCTACCTCATGCTCACCCCCTACCTCATGCTCACCCCCCATACCTCCTGCTCGGCTTCTGTGCCCGTATTGGCATCCTCTATGGAGCATGTAGTGGCTCCTAGAGATAGCAGAGCGTCCATTAACGCGTCCTGGGTGTACATGGGAGGATTTGGTGTACATGCGGAGGATTTGGGTGAGGGAGAAACAGCAGGGGAGGTCGGGGTCAGGGTTCGGGGTTCAGGATTCAAGGGGTTTACTCTGAAGAACACGGCGAATCACTTACAGCCACGTGTCCAGGGCATGTCATGATGGCAGCGCGCGTGACGCAGACCGACAAAGGATCAGATGGTGACGTGTCATCTTGCGATGCAATCCCCGCTCTCGCTTCATGTCCTTCTCTGCTGAACGCTCTGCAATTTCCGGGTAGATTCCCAGCCGCATTTGTTGGGAAGCTTCGCCGGCTGATGCTGCTGGTGCTGCTGATGCTTCTGTTGCGGGTAACCGATCGTTGACAAAAGTATCTAAACACGGAAGCGGGTGCTTGAGAGGAACTAGACTGTTTAGATGAGGCACCAGTGAGATGGCCAGGATTGATCATGGCCGTTGAAGGAAATGACGCCATACGAGTACATAATGTGCCGGCCATTCTGACCAGGTATGGCGAAATGCCTCCCACGATTCGACGCCGACCAGCAATTTTTGCCTGAAAACCAGTATATGAAGGGAAGGCTACGAAGGATAATGCGACGAAATTTTGTCGTAGAGATAACAATTCCGGGAATGGTTGTGAGTCTGTGAGACGAAAGACGCACCGACGCTTCAGATTGAGCAAAACGTCGCGCAGAAGCGGATTTTCATCGGCCTGACCACTAGCCTCTGAGACTGCGTGCGACCCGCGACAATGGTACAGCAGTGCCTCCTCTTGTTATTCCAGCAGCGGCTGGCATTCAGTCTTCTCTACCCGTTACAGCGTTCACCACTTCTGAGTCCCCTTCAAATTGGCAGTTCTGATATAAGATGCATTCTAGTAAGCATACAACACTTTCCACGCACTGAATCAGGCAAGAATCCAACTTCACCGGTACCGGTAAAACTGTTTTTCCGTAATAAAACACGAGAAAACCGCAATATATTTTCAACTAATGGAACCAATGGCTGGCCCAATCCCCTCCCTGGGCATGTGCTTTCTTCCACCCACCACCTCCCCGCACTCAAGGCAGCTTGACTCTTCCATTGCCCCACCACACTCCCCAATCACATACACATGCCCATTGCGGCACCAGTACCAGTGTCCCCCTCCCTCCTAAGCCCACAGCTTCAAATCCTGTTAAAGAACCCAGTGGCCGGGGCATTCCCTCCTCGAAGCCTGTGACTCGTCCCATCCACCACCTCCCCACACTCAGGACAGCTTGCCTCTTCCATCGCCCCGGCACACTCCCCAATCACGTACACATGCCCATTGCAGCACCAGTACCAGTGACCCACTCCCAAGCCCACAGCTTCAAATCCTGTTAAAGAACCCAGTGGCCGGGGTGTTACCTTCTCGAAGCCTCTGATTCGTCCCTCCCACCACCTCCCCACACTCAGGACAGCTTGCCTCTTCCATCGCCTTGCCGCACTCCCCAATCACATACACATGCCCATTGCAGCACCAGTACCAGCGATCCCCTCCCAGACCCACATCCTCAAACCCTGTTAAAGAACCCAGTGGCCGGGGTGTTACCTTCTCGAAGCCTGTGATTCGTCCCACCCACCACCTCCCCACACTCAGGACAGCTTGCCTCTTCCATCGCCTTGCCGCACTCCCCAATCACATACACATGCCCATTGCAGCACCAGTACCAGCGACCCCCTCCCAGACCCACATCCTCAAACCCTGTTAAAGAACCCAGTGGCCGGGGTGTTACCTTCTCGAAGCCTGTGATTCGTCCCACCCACCACCTCCCCACACTCAGGACAGCTTGCCTCTTCCATCGCCTTGCCGCACTCCCCAATCACATACACATGCCCATTGCAGCACCAGTACCAGCGACCCCCTCCCAGACCCACATCCTCAAACCCTGTTAAAGAACCCAGTGGCCGGGGTGTTACCTTCTCGAAGCCTGTGATTCGTCCCACCCACCACCTCCCCACACTCAGGACAGCTTGCCTCTTCCATCGCCTTGCCGCACTCCCCAATCACATACACATGCCCATTGCAGCACCAGTACCAGCGACCCCCTCCCAGACCCACATCCTCAAACCCTGTTAAAGAACCCAGTGGCCGGGGTGTTACCTTCTCGAAGCCTGTGATTCGTCCCACCCACCACCTCCCCACACTCAGGACAGCTTGCCTCTTCCATCGCCTTGCCGCACTCCCCAATCACATACACATGCCCATTGCAGCACCAGTACCAGCGACCCCCTCCCAGACCCACATCCTCAAACCCTGTTAAAGAACCCAGTGGCCGGGGTGTTACCTTCTCGAAGCCTGTGATTCGTCCCACCCACCACCTCCCCACACTCAGGACAGCTTGCCTCTTCCATCACCTTGCCACACCCCCCAATCACATACACATGCCCATTGCGGCACCGGTACCAGCTACCCCCTCCCAAGCCTATCGCCTTGAAGATATCCGCCTTCTCGCGTTCGGTCACAGCGAAGTACCGCAGTTCGTCGCGAACAGATTGCTCCAGCCCACGCAAGTCTTTCTCGAGCATTCTCCGAGCGCTGCCACCAAGGCTGTCATTCTCTCTGACCGAGGCTAGGTGGTGAGAGGCCACCATGTGACACTGCATCTTGGCCCTCTCGAGATACTCCAGCTGCTGCTTCCTTGACTCATCCTGCCAGAAAAAGTGCACAGAATGAGCACTTGAGTGCACCACATCCGTGAGCCATCAAAGTCCAAAAAAATGCACCCGACACCTCCTCCCCTTCTTAAAAACAGGTGAGCTAAAAAAAAGGGAAGGAGGAGAGGGAGAGCGGAGGGAGGGAGGGAGGGAGGGAGGGAGGGAAGGGAGAGGGGAAGGGAGGGGGGTGGGTGGAAGAGAGGCAGTCGGGGGTTTATGCAGTCTACTGTTCTCACCAGGCCAGCCGGGGACGCTGAGAGCAGGCGTTCCACCATCATCCCCTCCACGAACGCACGGACCACATCAACAAGCTCCAGCCTCCCCCTCACATGTTTTGAGTCAACTCATATCAAAACACGGTAGGTCGGGACAAGAGCGAGCAGAGTTCTCACCAGCCCAGCAGGGGAGGTCGAGAGCAGGCGTTCCGCCATCATTCCCTCCACGAACGCACGGAACACATCAGCCAGCTCCAGCCTCCCCCTCGCCTCCAGCCGGTGCGCCCTGCGCTTCCCAGCCCACTCCACCGCCTCCCCCACATGCTTCTCTGCGTTCCGCAGCACCATCAGCACAACAGCCCTGCAATTCTCCACCCACCCGGCCAAGAACGCTGCTCTATCAGTGCTGTTCTTATCAGTCTGACCAGCACTTTGACCAGCCTTCGGACGAGCATTCGGACGCGCATTTCGAGGAACCAGATTCTGGAGTTCTTTCAGCAGGCAGCGCAGCGCGAGGAAATTGGCAGCCATGAGCAGCTGGAAGGCTTTCCCCAGCAGCAGGAGGGCTTCACAGAGGGGCCCGGTTTGTGGCTGGGGGACATACAGCAGCTGGCACTCCTCCTCCCACGCAGGCGAATCAGCATCAGCTCCGGACGACAAGCCCAACAACTGGAGGTGCTTTCTCTGCAGCACAGCCACACAAGCCTGGTACGTCTGCTGGGTAGGCGGTTTCATAGCAGTGTCTCGCACGTTGCTTGCCTGCATTATTAGAAAGGTCGCAGCCCGAGCTAACTGTTGCACATGCCAGGATTGGGCAGCCTCAGGGCAGGCAGATATGGCCTGGCTTAATTTGGACAGCTTCTGCTGCAGCTGCTGCTGGTCGGCCAGGCAGCTGAGGGTGAAATTGCGCTCTGATTCGTCCAGCAGCGCCTTGTTCACCATCCTGCCGTACCGGCGCAGCCCAGTGATCGGCTGGCGGCACTCCGGGCAGCCCTTGAGGGCGGACAGGCCGCCATCGTCAAACGGCCGCACTGCCACCCACTTGGGTGCAGTTGCAGCTGCTTCCAGCCCACCTCCAGCAGCCCCTCCAGCAGCCCCTCCAGCAGCACTGCTGCCACCACCAGCAGACCCGGCTTCTGCCTCTTGGTAAACCTGGTTCAGCCCCAGGTGACCATCCAGAGTCTCCACAGTGTAAGTATGACCACACGGCAGCACCAGCACGGGACTCTCGTCCGGATCAATCTCCCCTAGCGTCTCCAGAGTGACCAGATCCACTCTCATCTCTCTCTTCTCCTTAGCCCCGCACCCAGCAACTGCGCAGTAGGCCTTCGGAGGGCATTTTTCCGAGCAGAGGGACGGGCACTGGTGGCCGCATTTGAGTTTTTTCTCGCACCGCTGCTCGCACGGGAGGCGGTCGCAGGGGGCGCCGCAGGGGAGCGAGCACCGGCCCTGGTGCTTGCAGTGCCACCCGCAAGGCTCGGCGCAGGGCGCGCAGGTTCGGTGGCAGGGTTGGGGGCAGGAGCTGTGCTGGCAAGCCACGAGGCACTTTCTGGTGCAGGGCTTGCAGGGCGTGCCGCTGTGGCAGGGGTCCGGGCAGAGGTGCGCACAGGGGTGCGGGCGCTGGCATGGCTGCATGCACTTCTTGTGGTTTCTCTCTAGCAGCTGCTGCTGCTGCTGCTGTTGTGAGCCCTGCCCCTGGTCGGTGGTAGCAGCTGGAGCAATGATGCACTGGCCGCAGGGAGAGATGCAGGTGTGCCCGCAGGAGTCTGAGAGCACAACGCCGCAGCGAGCCGTGCAGAGCTCAGGTTTGGTTACTCTGGTGGCAGCCTCGCCACACTTGACTGTCTGCTTGTGCCCGCACAGGGGCATCGTGACTTCCACCATTACTCTGCCACATTGGGTGGTTTGAGAGGGGAAAGTGAGAAGGGCGGACATGAGAACCTTGCAGCCAGTGGAGCAGAGCTTGGGTTGGAATTGCTTGTTGCGGTGGTCGCCTCACCACACTTGACTGTCTGCTTGTGCCTGCACAGGGGCATCGTGACCTCCACCATTACTCTGCCACTGCTTGTGTCCTGGCACGATGGGATTTCAGAACGGGAAGGGACAAAAGTGAACATGAGAAGCGAGCGGTGCAGAGCTGGGGTTGGTTACTCTGGTGGCGGCCTCGCCACACTTGACTGTCTGCTTGTGCCCGCACAGGGGCATCGTGACCTCCACCATTATCCTGGCACAGAGGGAAGTCGCAAAAAGAACAGACATGAGAAACTGAAAACCGAACAAGAAAAGGGGAGAAACAGCGAAACAGTAACCGTTGGGAGGCAGGCGGCAGCCTGGGGCGCAAGGAAGTCATGAGCAGAAGATAAAATTGGGATTCTGCATCTTGAACCACGAGACACTGAAAAGGCCAATGACCGAAGGGGAGCTGTTTTTATTTTAAGAGCTCTCAGGAACCACTTAAATGAGCGAAGTGCTTTTGAGAAACTCACGAGCAGAAGATGGTGGAGGGCTTCTGAGCCTTGAAGCAGGGCACGTTGAAGGCCTGATGGCCGCAGGGGAGTGTGAGTGCCTGGATGGTGACGAGGCAGGGCCCACAGTCCTCGCCACACTGCTTGGGGCACGTGTGCTGGTGCGGACACTCCTCCAGAGGCCAAGGGAAAGAGGAACTTACGAGCAGAAGATGGAAGAGGGATTCTGGACGTTGTAGCACGGCACATGGAACGCCTGATGGCCGCAGGGGAGTGTGAGTTCCCTGGTGGTGACGAGGCAGGGCCCACAGGCCTCGCCACACTGCTTGGGGCACGTGTGCTGGTGCGGACACTCCTCCAATGGGCGGATCCGGTTGCACTCCTTGGGGCAGAACGCACGGGCATGCGCTCTGTCGTCACTGTGGCACCTGTCAGTTGAGGGAATGGAAGACGAAAGGGTGTGTTGAAGAATTTGAAAAACGCAAATGTGCTGGTGCAGATACTCCTCCCGAGGCCGAATGCGGTTGCACTCCTTGGGCATGCGCTCTGTCGTCACTGTGGCACCTGTTGGGTGCATGGTTGAAGAGAGAATAGTGTAGTTAAGGTATCGAAACAGCACGTGTGCTGATGCGGCCATCCTCTCTTTATGCGGGCACTCCTCCAGAAGGCAAATGCGGTTGCACTCATTGGGGCAGACAATTGGCGTGTGCTCTGTCGTCACTGTGGCACCTGTTGGGTGCAAGGTTGAAGAGAGAAGAGTGCGGTAAAGGTAATGAAACAGCACGTGTGCCGATGCTGACGGGCAACGATTGCAGACAGAATGAGTGCTACTGAGAAATGTGTAGAACGTGTGCGCTGGCGCGGACACTTCTCCAGAGGCCGAATGCAGATGCACTTCACGAGTGATGAGTCGAGTTTTGAGTCGACTCAAAACTCGACTCATTACAATGCAGATGCACTTCACGAGTGAT